GTACTTCTCAGCAGTGAGAAGTTTCAGTTTCAAGACTGGGATACCGTTTTGTTTTCTTGCTTACTGTTAGCGTGTACGTAACGTTTCTAGTGCTCACATTACCCTTGCCAAACTAGTAATGTATATTAGTTGAGTACATTGTTAATGGCGCATGTGACGTTTGTATTTAATAGGTTTAAGCCAGCTCGTGCACGAGTGCTCGTTTTCAACTCGAGAACTAATTCATCTCGTTATCTGTGCTACATTTACAACAATAAAGTATACTTTAAAATAACTGCAATAGCTTCATGTAGTCTATATATTAATTAATACGTGAAGCAAAACCTTTGTATCCCTTTTTACGAAAATTGCGCGGACCGAGGAGTATGAAATTTTCCACACTTATACACAATATAGAGAAGAAGTGCACAACGCTAATATTTTTTTAAAATAATGCATAAAAGATACATTAAATCAATAAAGAAATCGTTACACACACTACATACATGCTATAATTTATTGTCAAACTTTTGTTCTTGACGTCTGTTGTCAAAAATTTGTGATTATACAAACTTACAATTCCAATTAATTATAGTCGAATTTCGACTACTGCGGGACCTCTAGTATTAGGAAAAAGGCATTGAGATCGTTTACAAAAAAACTCCATTACCAGCTTTACAGGTAATTCAACAGACCAGATTGACATCGTGCTATTGTTGTGTCATCAGAATTATTTGTCAAGGTTGCTGATACATCAATTAGTGGTTTTAAATTTAATTGAAAGATCATTTCATAATAGTGCAACATACAGGTCGAGTTGAAGTATTATTAAATCCAATACGATTGTTATAACGAGTCTGGTTTGCGGTCGGTCGAGTTATGAAGCAATATTGCAGTAAAGCTCTGGGGAATAAGTTACAAAAACAATTTATTGTGGGTCTATCGGACATGCGGCATATAGCTTTGTACGATTGAAACCGACATTGGATGAAATGCGATTCACGTGTATGGACTTTTAGACTTTTAGGGGGATAAAAATTTATCGTCACAAATAAAAATATATTATTTAATATCGACATAATCGTTGTATAACATTATTTAAATCTTGTTACATAAAAGTCATTGATTGCAAACATTAATGAAATGGATTTTTATAAAATATTAGGCTCGAAGTGGTCATAAATCTTCATTTATCTGTTAGGTATGCTATTTTGTATTATGATAAGAGTTTATTTAAGCGAATGATTATTCCGCAGTAAAGCAACGGCAAGTAAATAACCCTCGGAAAACTCATAATCCGGGCTTATCTAAAACTAGGACGACGGTCGTCATCGGTTCCTACTTATCTGTAGTTACTGTGTCAAAACAAAACGAAACGAATAGACCTTCATTAAAACTCGTGCCATGCTTTCTATTTCTCCTTAGAGCAGCGATCGGGGAACTTTTTTAATTATTACCCCAAAATATTTTTGTGTAAGTTGATATTACCCCATGGCGAAGAACAAAAAATAACGAAATCGCTTCTTTTTAGCATCTTTCATATTATAGACCCCATGACAATTCAGAAAAAAAATTCGTTTCGTCTTATCGAGTGTAAAATCACAACGATTCTAAAGAAGTTTCAGTTCAATATATACTTTTTACTCACAAAAGTTTCATTTTTACCCCCAAAAATTTATTTTACCCCTTTTGGGGTAATTTACCCCGGTTCCCCGACCGCTGGCTTAGGATTATTTAGTGTGTTGGTAAACTTTACGGAAATTTTGATTTTGTTATCCACGTTTCGAGTTACTGTTTGTTACCGAACGATTTTGACAGATTCTTAAATACTTTTGTTTATAAATTTGGTGGGCAGAGGATCCGTCCACCAGATGTTAACCGGTTACCGGAGCCGGGGCGTGAACATGTTGAATGCAGCCGATCTTGAAGCACCATTTTGAGTCTATTGAAATAAAATAACGGTTTCCTCGCTGCTCATGATGGAACGCGGAATAGCTTCGCTGTGGAAATACACAGAACAGCGGTACCAACTTTTGCGATTACACAATACCACCAGCATCAATTCCAAATAGCAAAATTATGTGAATTGTAATATATCACGGACGGATGATACAACTAGACCCCATCAATTGACGAAGACGACCAGAACATGCGTATCATTGTTCGTTTTACATTAATTGGCGGATCGACTGTTGTCATGTAGATAATGTCCTCTGGCTTATGCAGATGTACCTACGTCGCTTCTAATGAATCATGTCGGGCATGTAACGACCAGAGCTTTTATTTATTGAAAGTCTTTAATACGAGTACACAACTCTAACAACTTCTATCCTCCGCTACTATTTCAGGGCAGTTTCTTCTCAATAATCTTCTAACATTCAATGTTTTCTGCTGGTACAGCGTGTTGTCCTAACTCTACGTTAGGCTTGAGGCATTCGTGCGTTAGTAGTATATTACCCAATTCTATAAAAGCAGTCAGGGGCTTTTCATTAATCACATAAAGACGTTTTTTTTTTGCTTTTTTTCCCACTACCTTCACAAAGAAAGAATTTTTCTCGGTCTCCCCCTCCACCTTGTTACTTATGATTCGATTCAATTTTTTTATAGTCAAATGACAAACTAACGCATGACAACAGGAATACTGATATTTTATTGTACCTAAATCGAAGATATTTCACCTTTAAAGATTATTATTTGGATTATACTACCTAGTCTTGCCATAAATACTGAGACAAAGGAAAAAAAGTCTATTGCAGATAACATTTATTACTTTTACAGTGTGTTAGTTTAATACATAAATATAAAACAATTTAAAGTATAAAAAGCTTATTCGAAGTGGTCTCCATTGGCTGCAATAAACGTTGAGGCCAGTTATCAATAGAAGCACGCACTCTTTCCATGGGAAAATTTTTCACTGCCAATCGTACGGATTGTTTTAGGGACTCCAATTTATCATGGCGTTTAGAGCAAGCCGTACTCTCTAAAACCGACCATAAATCATAATCCAGCGGATTAAGATCGGGACTAGACGACGGCCAGTCTTCAGCTCTGATGAAGTCCTAAACGTTCGTTTCCAACCAATACTGCGTATACCGAGCTTTATGACCTGGCGCCGAGTCTTGCTGGAAGGACCATTCGTGATTATTGAACATGGTGTTGTTAAGGGGCTTCACTACCTTTTCAAGAATGGTATCTTGATACACTTGTGCCGATTTTCTGATACCTTTTTCACAAAAGTATGGCTCAGTCACTCCTTCATAGCTAATAACCAAACCATCACTGGAGTCGGATAGTGCCCACGTTGCACTCTGTCGACTAATTGGGAAGCTTCCTTAGGGCTTTGAGCATAAATACGGTCATTTTGTTTGTTAAAATGTTGCTCAATTGTAAACATTTTCTCATCCGTAAACAAATTTTTTCTATGATCTCCCTTTGCATACCGCTTCAGTAGATGTTTCGATTTTACCACCCTATTCTCTTTTAAATTATCAATTAAGAAATGACCAGTACGTCTTTTATAGGCTGCAAGTCCTAAGTCATCTTTTAAAATACGCGACATAGTTCTAGGTGCTATCTTCATCTCCCGAGATAAAATCTTTTGCTTTCGGACAGGATTTCTTCGAATTCTTTCCCTTACTGCTTTGACCACCTTTTTCGTACGAACACTACGTGGACGGCCAGAACTTTTTCTGTCACAAACAGAGGAGGTTTCATTGCACCTATTAATAGCCCGGTACACAAACATTTTACCAATACCAAGCGTATGGAGAGTTTTAAAAATTGCATTTGGCTCCATACCTACTTTGTGTAATGCAATCACAGCGATTCGGTTCTTTTTATCACCCTACTCCATTTTAATATCGCAAAATATTGTACAATTTATTGGCGCCAAAATGAGAAAACTCAATGAGCAATCATATAAAAAATGACAGATTCCAGATTCAAATGTAATATTTTGTTTATTTTTAATTGTAACAGTATTTATGGCCAGACTAAGTATATGTATAAAAACAGTATATGTATTGTTTATTTAATTATAATGTCTTCTATTTAATTGTTTTATATTAATTAATCATCTCTGTATCTAGTAAGCACTAAAAATAGTTATATTAAATGATAAATGAATCGAATTCAAAGCCTTCGTTCAGCCCGAAGTATCTTACTGCTGATGCAATGACTAGAACACGAATGCTCATTAAAGTTATCATCAAAGCAATAAACATGATACAACGGTTACTGGCACACGAACCTATCGCAATGCGTCATTGTATTACCAGATGTCTGTTTATTTAATCTGAAAAAAAAAAGCTACATACGGTATTTATCATTGTTTTTTGACGCAATACGAATGGTCATGCCACATACGCATTGATAAATAAGTTTGTTGTCAGGCATAGGAATTACGACTGTTTAATACGAACTGTGTATTATATACTATAATATTATGATAATAGAATTTTTATGTTTATCACATCCGTCGAGGCGCCTCTAGTTGAACGTCTAATTTGACTAGCACGACCGCTGATTATGTGTAAAAGATGTTGCGAAATTGCCAAAGTTCAAACTTGTGATTAAATACTGTAAGTAAATACTTGTCTAACACGGGTTAACGAACGTATTCGATAACGAAGCAATGACCGCAGCGTTTTTCAAGTTCGAACAGATAGGTTCCATAATTCTGTCGCGAAGTCTAATGCGGTCCAGTTTGATAGGGCGGGTCTTGCGTAGTGGAGTTATTCAAACCATGCTTAGTTGAAATATATCCCCTTATATTATCAACGGTGAGATGGGAAAAAAATAAAAACTTAAACGGGTTATGATGTCTAGTGTCTATAGGTTCTGTCTGTCTATAACCTAACGAAAGGTTTCCCGAGAGAAAAAGAAACAACTTAGCGTACATTGGCCAAATGTAAAGCTAAAAACTAACCATGCTTTTAATTTCCTACGCTAGTTAAAATAAGGTCATTCACATTCCAACGCTTTCGTGCTTCATCTCTTATTAATAAAGTGCGTTGTTTCAGGTTATTTATTATTTAAGGAATTCTGTGAACAGACGTCAGACGAACCAGTGCCACAATTAAAATTTTACGAAGAGGTAAGCGGAACGCTTCCCGACGATAATTATGATAAAACATCTACATTTAAGTATTAGTCGAGTAAAACGTTTTAAATTTACAGATAAAACTGTTCGAGAAACAAGAATGCGTGGAAGAAAGGCAACGAATCGCGAGGGATATTTACGATAATTTTATAATGAAGGAATTACTATCACATGCGCATGTAAGTTTTATTTTTTTTCAATATTTTTTTTGCCTAGATGTGTGGACGAGCTCACAGCCCACCCGGTGCTAAGTGGTTACTGGAACCCATAGACATCTACAACGTAAATGCGCCACACACCTTGAGATATAAGTTCTAAGGTCTCAGTATAGTTACAACGGCTGCCCCACCCTTCAAACCGAAACTCATTACTGCTTCACGGCCGAAATAGGCGGGGCGGTGGTACCTATCCGTGCGGACTCACAAGAGGTCCTACCACCAGTTAATTGAAACGAACTCAAATAAATAATGTAAGGACAATGTTTTAAGACATTCTCGTATTAATATAAAATTTTCATTTACGATAGCTGAAACTGGAAGTTAAATAGAAAACCAGCCGAACGAATATCGGGAATACACGAGCTTAATTTAATTTACCGACCCGTAAACGCCATAAAACGAGCATAGGTAGTTGTGGGATACGCCCAGTTTCAGTTCAGAAAATATATTTCATCATCTGAAAGCTTTTACATTAATGAATTAGTTTTCAAATTATCTGTATCATGTACGAGTTTATTTAGGCGTTCGAATGTGTATTCATAAGCGTATGTTTTAGATATCGTAAAGTAGTCGAGGTAATGCTTTTTTACTTGTGACTCTCGTTAAGGATTCTGGATTGAATTGAACAGCTCATGACAATAAATACTCAAGTAAAGGAGCGTTCTTGTCCATTTATAGTCGGAGTCCGATTCGAACCCTTGTTTACCGCCTTCAGTTTTTGCCACCGAACGTTCGTAATTGTGTTCTGTATTTATGACCGTATTGGCATCGTAAGAAATTTGTTGCTCGTAATTTGTGGGAATATACGAGCTAGAGAAAGGAACAAAATTGGATTTTTTAGAACGAATAAGCGTCATTTAGTTTCGAATGTCAAAAGTGATGATGGCATATGTTCTCATAACGTGTAATAAAAAAGTTAAAGTTGAGTCGATAACTATAGAAAAAAACCTTTTGTTATATAATATATTATCACTACATAGTATAAAACAAAGTCGCTGTCTCTGTCCCTATATCCCTATGTATGTTTAAATCATTAAAACTACGTAACGGATTTTGATGCGATTTTTTTCAATAGATAGAGTGATTGAAGAGGAAGCTTTCTATGTATAATAACATCCATTAAATACTGGAGAAATCAATGATGAATTACAATTTCCGAAGCGAAGTCGGGTCTCTAGTATCTTATAAAATTGAGTATTAATGAAATTCTTTTGACATTTCAATATTTGTGTTTGTGATAAATAAAGCATGAAAACGTATGAAAACTAGCACTATTTATCCATATGTAGAACGATGTTTTTATCAAGGATAAATTTATTAGTACGTATTATTATTAAAATAAAATAATTAAATAGTAAAAGTTTTACTAAAGGAGATGGTGTGAAATACTGACAAGGAAAACAGACTACCCTAAGTAATCTGAGATATAAATAGTGAGATTATACTGACAGTATCATGTAAAGAAGACATGTTTTACGGAAAGTCTAAATGATTTTCGTTCAGAAACACCTTAGGTTTGTTCACAACTAAAGCGTCGTGGTGCATCTGCGGACATTCCATTTTTCTTGGAGATACGCCTACCCGATTTGAGAGAATCCACACATTCTATGTTTATTATCTTGCTAGAATCTTGCTGGAATAATAGCTAGAGAACAAGGAAAAGTTTTATTAAATTCGCCCATCGCTATAAAGACTAGTTATGTGTTTTAAAATTTTCATGTAACCTGTTTTATTTCTCGTTTATTTTATTTCGGAACGAACCAAATTGTCTCTGGTATATATAATTAAACTATCACTTGTATTTTCTTAAAATTTTCTATTCAAATACATTTTTTGAAGAAGCCATAGATTATAAAAACAATTGAGGTTGTCTCACAATTTATGCATAAATCGGTAATTATGTAAAATAGCAAGTTGTTACGATGTAAATTATCTTTGCCTCGGATTGCGAAAAAGTGGACATGTTTATCGTTTCCATTGTTTCAGGATTATTCTAAAGAATGCGTAGCTCATGTACAGAAGTATTTATTGAAGCATGAAGTACCACCAAATCTATTTGAGGTATCTATCTATATTTTCGTAAATCATATTGAAAAAAAAAACAATTCAATATTTTATTGATTCCCATCAACATTCTATTTTAGCCATATATAGAGGAAATATTCCAACATCTTCGTGGAGAGCCATTCAAAAATTTCTTAGAAAGGTATGACTATTCCTTATTGATGACACGATTGGGTTTTTGAGGTTTTAAATTCGGGTCATTTCTCTAATATAGTATAATATTTGTTACAGTGATAAGTACACGAGGTTTTGTCAATGGAAGAATCTAGAACTAAACATCCAGCTAACTATGAACGATTTTAGCGTACATCGTATTATCGGCAGGGGAGGTTTCGGAGAGGTAAGCACATCTTAGGTTGTTTCAAAGCCTATCGCATTTAAATATTGTGCCAAGGAATCAAGAAGATTTATAAAAAAAAACTTTTATTTTGGATAATCGAGAGGAAAATAACTGATAGTCACGAAACAAACTCGATAACATGCCAGTGTTAAGATGCAAAATAAATAGTCATTAGTATTCCGAATATAACACCGAGCTTGTAACTATATTCATATTCCTCTCAGCTAACGGAAAGCCGGCTCGTAAGTGTAATAAAGCCCTCCTATGCCCTTGGTTGAATAGCAATGGAATTTTTAAATTAACTTCATTGGGTTCTATTCCCCAACAACATCAGGAAATATCGTAACCCGCACTCCAGTACCATTTGTACTATTATTTACATATCATTAATTGCAAAAGGAAAACATTGGCTAATTATGTTCGTCATTCATGAAACAGCAATGTAAAGCGAAAGCAGACGGTGAACGACCCTGAGCACGACGCGGAACTACGGATCCCGCCCGACCTCTGAATTTTAATTGTATTACATTACGTGCCGTTTAAATAAACAATAATATTTATCATTTCAGAAATTAATAGTATTCCAATTATATTAGGTTTAATATTCCCTCATTCATTACAGGACCTTAAAATTTAAACAAGACTTAATGGCACACCTCAATTTCGAGGTATTTAAATTTGAGGTTTAAAAGTGAATCTAATCTCATTCATAATAAAAAAACATATACATAAAATACATTGTCGATTTATATACTTTAAATAAATACTCGTACGAGACGAATGAATTTCAGTATCAGCTTCAAAGTAACTGACCGCGAATAAACGTGCCGCACATTGTTCGACGACTATTTGCAATTTAAACTCTAGTGAACGAAACGTGAAGCTGATTGTTTTAATTTGCATCTCTTTGATTTAGAAGCCAGCCCTTAACTTTGAGGATTAACCGATTCACGTACAGAATGACCGCGCAGTGAGAACCGAAATAGCTTTTGTTTTGGTTATATGGCAGTTGTGACGTATCTCTTGGTTAGATTCAATTTAAATTCTGCTGATAATTCAATTTAGTACGAGTTGTTTTTTTAAATTTATTCATTTTTTGCTTGAGTTACCTACTATTGTTTAAAAACTAATGGTCATTGTGTTCAATTAACCTTTATTGTTTTGAACAACTGACTTATTCGATTAATGTCGATGATGACATGAAAATATTATTTTATTATTATTAGGCATTCTATTTACGTTGAACGTAACGAACATCTATTGATTGCCTTTTAACCTCAATTAAAACCTATTTGTACAACAACGACGCAGTGTATGAGTGAGAACAACGCTGGCTTATGGATCTGTAGTTTGCATATCACGTTAGCGTTGTGATATTTAAACAATAGGTCTGATGTCAAATATGGAAATTAAATAATTCGTAATACATGGATTTAAATTGGATTTTTTGTTTTTAAATATTCATAGCATATGCTTCCTCAGGTATACGGATGTCGGAAGGCGGACACAGGAAAAATGTACGCAATGAAATGTCTCGATAAGAAACGAATAAAGATGAAGCAAGGAGAGACGCTTGCCTTGAACGAGAGGATTATGCTCTCGCTAGTCAGTACCGGGGTGAGTGCATTGTGGGTTATGATGATTTTAGATATTTTGCATTTTTTTTTATTGCTTAGATGGATCACGGATCGTTTGGAACCTCTGGGTCTGCGGAGGGACTTCGGTTCCCTCTTGTATTTTGTACCGTATGTTCCATGGGGAGTGCTCTGAGGAATTGTTTGAGATGATACCGGCATCTCGTTTTTACCATCGTACCGCATGCCACCGGAGTAGAGTTCATCCATACTACCTGGAGTAACTGCGGTCATCCACAGTGCGTTTCCAGAGGTCTTTTTTGCCACGTACCATCCGGCTATGGAATGAGCTCCCACTCCACGGTGTTTCCCGAGCGTTATGATATGTCCTTTTTCAAACGAGGCTTGTGGAGAGTATTAAGCGGTAGGCAGCGGCTTGGCTCTGCCCCTGGCATTGCTGAAGCCCATGAGCGACGATAACCACTCACCATCAGGTGGGCCGTATGCCTACAAGGGCAATAACAAAAAAATACAAATTGTATTTGTTTGTATTTACAATGCATTCCAATTTAAAGGTTGGGTCAGTCTCTTAAGCCAATACAATTTAAACTTCGACCTCATGTGTCAAGATGAGTCACAGCGTTCGCGTTATATTTCCATTGTGTATGGGCTCTAGTAACGAACTGCTAACACTAGGTGGGCCGTGAGATCATCCTCTCATCTACAGCAATAAAAAAAAGTTATGTCGTGACGTTTCTAAGTCTGCCTGTCTCGCAATTGATCAAAGTTAACTGAATTAAACTACAGTCGTGCTGGTCGGTGAACGAGTTTTTGAACTGACGTTATAAGCGTGTATATGTTACGGTAAAAGTAGATATTGCGGCAAATGTACACATTTTCCGGTAAATGTGCGCATTTGCCTCCTCGTTTGGGTAATGTGCATTGAACTAACATTTTCAATTTCAAAGAAGGGAAATGTACGTTGAATTCGTTAAGTCGTCGTGGCCTAAAGGATAAGACGTCCGGTGCATTCGTACGTAGCGATGCACCGTTGTTCGAATCCCGCAGGCGGGTACCAATTTTTCTAATGAAATACGTACTTAACATAAGTTCACGATTGACTTCCACGGTGAAGGAATAACATCGTGTAATAAAAATCAAACCCGCAAAATTATAATTTGCGTAATCACTGGTGGTAGGACCTCTTGTGAGTCCGCACGGGTAGGTACCACCACCCCGCCTATTTCTGCCGTGAAGCAGTAATGCGGTTCGGTCTGAAGGGTAGGGCAGCCGTTGTAACTATACTGAGATCTTAGAACTTATATCTCAAGGTGGGTGGCGCATTTACGTTGTAGATGTCTATAGGCTCCAGTAACCACTTAATACCAGGTGGGCTGTGGGCTCGTCCATCCATCTAAGCAATAAAAAAAAAGTGACACATTGGCCGGGAAATGTACATAATATACATTATATTCAGTTCACACATACCTAACTTTTTGGCATGTACATTTACCGGTAAAAGTGTACATTTCCCAAGAGTGTACATTTGCCGTAACATATATCTATAAAAATTCGTAAAAAATTATCGTCTATGATTAATTTAGACTGGCTCGTCTAAATGTTTACCCTACTGCGGATGTTGGCCCGCTCAGACTCGTTCGCGTTTAATGCGCTCCATTCATGAATCTCTCGTAGGGACCGAAACTTTGTTTGTGACTGTTGGACTTAGTGGAAATTAATGAAACTTGAGACATTCTCGACACGAACGTCTTTTCATTTGGACGGTGGCAGAGCGAAGAGCGGAGTAACAAAGACGGATCGCACAAAGAAGTTCTCCGTAGATTAATCAAGTGTATTGTACATATATCGTCTTTTCGTATCAAAAGTGTACAATTCCCAAAAATATTCGAAACTGGGTTAATATGCGGAATCATTTGGTATCACCAGTATTTTTCAAAGTCAAAAGAGCGTTGTTTAGTTTTCGTTTTTTTTATTGTTTACCTATATTTTGACTACTATTAACAAAATTAAGACATAATTTTATCTTACTTTAAAAGACACATAATGTAACTGGTAAAAAATAAAAAAAAATGTAAAAAAAAGATGAATAATATTAAAAATATCACATGTTAAACCTTTAAAACACTCTCCAGTAAAATTAGCACGTTTTTGAGATTATATAGTTTGAAAGCGAGAAGACGATATATATATAATAGGTTGGGGAAAAAGTTTCCTCGCATTTTTTAAGAAATTTCACAACGTTTTTTAATATAGTTTATTTACATTTAACTAAAGTATGTAGGTACCATTTTGTTCTGTAACTTTTTGCCATCTTGTAGGTAGGGACATGATCCCATTGCTATAGAAAATTTGGGGCTTCTGATCAAAATACAAAATACGAAAAATAAATAAAAATCACACATTTTCCTAATTTGAATTGGAATTATCTTTAAAATTTAAACTTTTAATGATACCAAAATCAGCCAGATACAAATAGTATAGCCAAAGAGATTTTATTACAAGTTCATACATACTATTATGACGCGAAAAGACTTTTTCCCCAACCTATTATTTTAGGCGGGACGAGGGTGTTCTGTAGTCACTCTAAAATAATTCTTTAATAATGAACTTGAAAGTAGGATCATGATTTGTGAATGTTATACTGCAAAAAACCTAAAAAAAATATTTTTTTCTTTTAACATTCATGATGTTATTTACTACAAATATTGTACGTACCTAATAGACTCTTAAGTACACAATAGGTCTAGATCGTAATTTTCGTGTCGGGATGTACCTAACGATGTTTGCGACAAACCTCGAAGTAAGTAGGTACACGAAAAACATGATAATCTTTCTGGTTTACTGGCGCGATGTTCATGTGACTATTTTTTTTTTTATTCACGTTCCTATTATTAGCAAACAAAGTCGTAAGTAATGTAGACAAAAACAAAATTTACTGTACATCGCATCCTTGAAAATGAACGAAAGTTTTTTGCTCAAAGGAAACAAGACGAAAAAATTCATGGTATAAAATAACTTTCACTGAATATCAAGGACCGATGACAATACAATAATTTTATTGTTTTGTCCTAATCCCTTGACCAGAATGAACAGAATAGAAAATTATAATCATATTTTGATTTTCAGATCCGTTTGCTATTAAAGCGTGTTTTAAAGTTCTGAACCACATTATATGTTTATTATTATTATTCGCTCGCAACCCATCCACAACAAGGGGTTCCAAAAGTTTTAAAGTCATTTATTAACAGAAAAATAATAATTTTAGATTTTGAACTACACAAACTATAACAAACATATATTCCATTTAATTCTAAAGAAATAATTATATATGTAATACAATTATACAAATTGGAACTTGTATTATCGACTTTTCTGTAAGTTGCCAGCTCGTAGCATGGTTGGAGTAAACACAGTTTACAAAAACGACATAGTTACCCTACAAAAAATGAATCCCCAATCTCCGTATAGTAAAAATGTAGGTAGATAGAGAAAATCATATCAACACAATCTTAATGGAACATTTACAGAACCGCAAAATAAATTTGATTGTAATAATCTCAATATACGATCTTTTGTAGATAAAGTGTCGCTTTGATTCGTAACGATACGAACAATCATAGGTAGCATTTATTTATACGCTATATGGTACTGGGAATATAAACGATACTCGGCCAATTGGACTGAAACGAATTGGATCGCCCTCAATTTGTCGGCGTATTGCATTTCGCTTCCTCTGCATTTTGTTTTATACCTGTTTTCAGTCGCTTCGTTGATTGATGTTTTCTATAGAACAGCGGGTACGTTTGTGTTTTAACACAACGAAATTATGAGGATCGTTTTAGTAATATTATCGAATACTTATCCGTCATTAATGTGTACATGAAAATAATTTATTATATCCAATGGGCTATGATTGTGTTTTCACGACCTAAAAAGTTTTTCGTAAACTTTAACAAGGTCATTTGTTTCCGCCCCGAAGTTTGTATAAAACGTTGAATTGTCGGTCGTTTCGTAACGACAATACTACATACATATGTACATAGATATAAAGACTTACGTAATAATACTTTATATTATGTATGTAGGGTCAACTTTTCGTATAAAAATCTTTTTGTCATGTATGATGACCTTGTTTTCATTTTTATGTCCTGTGGTACAATAAAACGTTTTTATTTTATGTTCACGAGTAAGAAAACTCTCGTATCGTCAGAATGTTTCGTTATTGGAACCAGGTTTTATTGATAAACGATCGTATTATGTACTATGTTAGTATTAATCGGATTTTATTGATTGACTTCGGCAATAAAATAAATAATATATTTTTCGGTACGAACGGACAGTGTACATGTTGATGAAGCTATTAAAATATAACTCATAGTAAAACAAAATAGCCAAGACGTGTTTCTTCCACTGCCAAGTATTTTTAGAGTTTTGACATTTTCCTTGAAGTAAACGTCTCCAATTTATAATGGTTATGAAATCCCTCGAACTCTTAAGCATATCTGCTTTTCGGCGGGAATTTGCAGGATGGTAGTATCTATCCTTGCGAGATTACAATACCACCACCAACTTCGATAAGTACGTATTTTCTTTTTTTTTTTAAACCTGTCGTGGCATTTGAACAACGGCTTAGATCATCGCTTGATGCGTGTATGCCACGACTTATCTTCTAGGCCATGGCGACTTCGACAGTACCACTGCACATCCTATCTTTTTCTTTCTACGCTTAATCACGCTCCACTTCTGCAAGTGCACCATCTCGCAGAAGGAGGCAGCGGGGCGCGTCAGATACACAAGCCTGCCGCCGTCGAGCGGGGACCAGGGAGGCGGATCTCTCCCAAGCCCTGACCCTATAAGTGTTTCGGGTACCCCTCACATGTCGGTCTGAGGCCCGTACGAGGGGGGGCCTAAGAAGACGACGTAAAAGCTGCTCTGCACACGTTTTACGCAAGAGCATCCGGGTGATGGAAGGCCGGCTATCCTCGACTCACGCTGTTCTGACTCAGCGGGGTATTACGTAGGATAACTCACTGTAACCGGCGCTATCTAGGCGGGCTTCGGATAGCCTGCCGACCTAGAGGGCTGTTAGTCGTGGCTCTGCACTAAACGTTTCACTTTCCCCCTTTTTGCCTTTTCATGGGTTTTGTCTCATGCGAGGATTGGACGTTGGTTGTTCAGCCATAGAATGTTTTAGTCGGCTCGACTCCGACATGCTCCGCCCGCCATCCCCAGTGGAGGGCGGAAGAGCGGCGATTTCCTCCTGACCAAAAAAAAAACGCTTAATCACAGTTTTATTTCTGATATTATTTTATTCAGCGTTCAATGATAAATAACGCGTCATCGCTTTTAGACATAGTTTTATTAAAAGTCACAGAAAGATGATTCACCAATTTATTCTTCAAAACACATTCACAGGGAAACTTGCGCAAATTCAAATTCACGTTAGAACGTACCGTAGCCTAATTGTACCACTGATTACTATGTTTACTGTAACGTTTAGTGAAACCCGCAAAATTATAATTTGCGTAATTACTGGTGGTAGGACCTCTTGTGAGTCCGCGCGAGTGGGTACCACCGCTCTGCCCATTTCTGCCGTGAAGCAGTAATGCGTTTCGGTTTGAAGGGTGGGGCAGCTGTTGTAACTATACTTCAGACCTTAGAACTTAAACGCATTTACGTTGTGGATGTCTATGGGCTCCAGTAACCACTTAACACCAGGTGGGCTGTGAGCTCGTCCATCCATCTTAAGCTATAAAAAAAAAAAACGTCGAACCAACGCGTCCGATGTACTAACTTTAGTTTTCTGAGTTAAAATACGACTTATCTTTATGTGCGTTCGTCTCGGGATGAGCGGCGCCGCAACGTCTGTCTAGTCTCGTGTAAACGTCGAGGATTGTTATCGGGACACGCCTCGGACAGGATTCTACAGCTGACTCGAATTGAGTCTTGAGAACGGAGTTCGGCTTTCGTTTCGGTGCAAATGCAAGCAAGATTTTTTATTGATTTTCGCTTTAAAGTCAAGAAAACTTTGAGATGTGCGAGATTAGATTATCTGGAATATTTACAGCATTTAAATGTATTTATTTCAATAAATACATTTTAAAGTTAAATACACGATGAAACAAAGATTGGGTTGTGTGTTTGTTAAGGATATAATACTTTATATCCTAACGTATTTATATACTCATATATTTATATAAGATACTAACCGTATTTATTGTCATTATTATTTAGGAAGTCCAACACCCATTTAAATATTAGCCTATCCATTAAGTACATGTATTTTCTGCATGGATACCAAGTTTCAAGTCAATCGGATGCATGGTTCAATAGTTATAACGGAACATCCGTAAAAACCAATGTAGATTTATAATATATTAGTATAGATAAAAGAGGAAGGAATGAGAAGAACTTGTATCTGAGGGTATCATTTGAAATCCTTAAAAGGCAAAATATGAAATTACAATTTATTTAATTTATATTTCATTATCTATTTATCATATAATTGCGATTTTGCTGCAGCTATGACGTATTGACATGATTGTCGTCAATGTGAATTATCGATGAAAAATAGCCTAACGATGATATCAAGTTTTAGTATGTCGTCATCTTTGCAATGAACATATACAGTCGTCAAAGCGGGCAACGTGTAAACAAAAGGAATGCGCTCATAACAACAAACCGTAGTTGAATATTTCCGTTTGCCATAACACATTGGGTATTTTAGAGTTGTTTTACTGCTATTTTGCATTCCGTATAATCGATTCTTAATCTATATTAGTTTTAGTTTTTGGGTCACGTTTCGGTCTAGCTAGAAGGTATCGTGTGCTCGTTATGATTTCGAATAAAATTGTTGGCGGCTCCGCCATCATGTGTTAACTTTTATCGTCACATGAATGTTGTTACCAATCGCCTTGACCTAGTTTTTCTAAGAGTTGCATTTCCCATTGTTTTAAAGGTTTATATAGGTGACTATTATATTATTCTGGTTCATAATAAACATTGCAAGTTTGTTTAATTATACCTTTTTTTTGTATTACAATGGAAAATGGATTTGTTTATTGAGCTATGTATTGCTATTCGTCATGCTTGTAACAGATAAAACAAAAATTCAGAATGCATACTTTTCCAATTGAATACTTCAATCGACGAGACTTAGGAAAAAATATACATTTATTTTACTTGTTATTCGAAAAATTTTAGTTAGTTTATATGTATTGTAAATACTATTTGTAAAATGATAATATCAAAAAATTATGACTTTTATTTACTAAGAATTAATGATTACATTTTATATATCAGGTCGACTGTCCGTTTATCGTGTGTATGACGTACGCGTTTCACACTCCCGATAAGCTGTGCTTTATCCTGGACCTGATGAATGGAGGCGACCTCCACTATCATCTCTCCCAGCATGGAGTATTTAATGAAGCCGAAATGAAGTTCTACGCTGCCGAAGTAATATTAGGTAAGATAGAAAATAATACGTACCCATACAAAAAAAAAAATGATGATGATGACGTATTTATGTGATAGTTTCGATTCGGAAATTTGTTTGACTTGGGGCTTCATCTTTGCGATAAAAGCATTCCAGGTGTTTGATTTCGCCGGCAGCAGCCGGTCCCGGCGTCTGTGGGACGGCGGGATGGATGTAATGTGTTCTGCGTCAAACCTGTCCCGCCGTCTCAATAGCCCCGACTGGGCTCCGGCCCGGTCCGAGGTAGGGTTGTGAGCGGCAGTTTTTAGTGAGGTTCAACTCCCACATACCCCAAATGCCGCGCGGGTGGGGATCCGGCGATTTTCTCCTGTGGAAAAAAAAGGTGTTTAATTATCAAGATAGTGATAACTCTTTCCTTGCGCAAAGAAGTCAATAAATTATTTATTTGATTTACTAGACGCTCATGTACTAACCATTGGGTAGGCCGAGTGTTCGTCTGTTGGTTTGAAAATTATATTGCAATAAACCGCAAAAATATTTTAAAAGTACGTACGTATCGTTTCTGAATTTTAATTAATTTCGCTATACTTATTTCTGAAAATGAAGTATTTGCTAATATAAACACTTGGTGTGATTACTCGATTAGAGGCAGTTGCCTTTAACTGGTTGTATTTAAGTTTTATTTTCGCATCGTCACGCTGCTTTAATTGTCGCTCAAGCTCATGGCCTATCTGGTATTAAATGTCCACCGATTACTTTACTAATAGATGACGCCGCATACCATTTGTACTAATAGCGGTTTGAGGTGATCGAGGCGTTAAATGTTATATAAGATTTACATACACCAGGGCATTATGATTATTTTATCATATTTTTTTCTACTGGTGCCTATTTGCTGTCATGTTCATTTTCGCGTTGAATCGTGGGGCAGTCGTTAAAAAATAAAATTCAGATTCCGACATCATGCCTTAAGATGGTTCACCGAAATACGTAATAAATAAAACACAAAAAAATGGGTATAAAAATCTACAACCACCTAGTACCTGACACATAGGGTGGTTATTGTTTACTCCGGTAACCGTACTCGTCGAATTCGACAACGTGCATCCTAACCCATGCATCAGCCCGCTGAGTTTCTCGCCGGATATTTTCAGCGGGTCGCGATTCCGATCCGGTAGTAGATTCATTCGAGCAGCTGTTAGCAAAGCCCACCCCTCCTGTCTGAGCCCTTGCTCGCCCACCTGGTCCTAGTGAAACTGTAAAGGCCTCCGGGCCACCAGTAATCCTTCAGTCATAAAAAAAGGTTGTTATTGTGCAGACGTGTAATGTATGCACACATCCACAATGTTCTCGTATGGTAAAAAGGACGTGTCACGGGTGTCAAGTGGTACTAAAAGTTTCACTGAACAGGTTTGGAGCACATGCACAAACGTCACATAGTTTATAGAGATTTGAAGCCTGCGAACATACTCCTCGACGAGCACGGACACGTTAGAATATCAGATCTAGGCCTCGCCTGTGACTTCTCCAAAAAGAAACCTCACGCTAGTGTGTAAGTATTACTCTGTATCTAATACATAATTATTAGTTCATTTTTTTGAAGTGTTTTCTATAAATGACTAGCTGTACACGCGTCTTGGCTCGCATTAATGTAGAAAAATAAACGTATCAGGTTTGTTTTGTTTTATGTGTCTCTTGTGTATGCAAAATTTCATGATCATGGGTTGATGAGTTATGATGTGAAAGGTTAACAAACAAACAGATTCTCACATTTAAAATATTAGTATCGATGGTGTCATGTACGGGTTAACGAATAAATAAACTGTCATTTTTGTTCACTGTCTGATATTTTTTGACACAAAAAAAGGGCCGGATCAACTTTTTCTTAAAAATTGTTTTGATTACGAATAAGTCGGTACATTTTATTTTAGCCCCATGGATAATGCCGCTAAACATGTAAGATCATATTTTATTATCAGTATAAATAGGAAAATCATTACGAATAGGCTTGAACAACCGTACCAACCAATTTATATCGTGCAACATACAGATTAATTTTTATAACTAAAATTTTATGATATCGTAAGAATCCATCCAGCAAGAACACACTTACTTTTTAATCCAACACCCTTAACAAATCTAAAGTTCGATCGATAGGTTGCATCGTTATGATTTTGATTGGAACACACGTGACTGTAGATTCGATAAAATAAAAATAAAATAATATGCGTCAGGTAGGATAGTCTAACGAACTTTTTTAGGCGTGAGTCGTTTTCAGCTTAAGCATTGGGGTCCGTCACATTTTATTTTATATTAACCCAAAAATCATGCGAATGACGCCGCATGCCACATCAGATTTAAAGATAACAACACAAAATTCTTTTTATTTATTGCCCTTGTACGCAGACGAGCATACGGCCCACCTGATGGTGAGTGGTTACCGTCGCCCCTGAACTTCATACCGGCATTATCATTAACATAAAGTTAAAAATTGCAATGTCATTGACGAAAAATCTCGACAATCTTATTGATAGTGTGCTTATTGAATTTCAGCGGTAGGCCGACTGCCACAACAGATTAAAAAAAAACACTAAGCTCATTAGCATAAAGTTCAAATTTGTAATCTGATCGACGAAAAATCTGACAATCTTATTGAATCTTGCTTGTTGAATTTCAGCGGTAGGCCGACTGCTACAACAGATTAAAAAAAACCCTAACGTCATCAATATAAAGTTCAAAATTGCAATCTGTTTGACCAAAAAAATTGACAATCTTATTCATAGTGTGCTTGTTGAATTCCAGCGGTACTCACGGCTACATGGCCCCCGAGGTTCTCTCGAAGGGGACAGGCTACGATTCGTCCGCGGATTGGTTCAGTTTCGGCTGCATGCTCTACAAGCTGCTCAAGGGACATTCCCCGTTCCGCCAGCACAAAACCAAAGACAAGCACGAGATCGACAAGATGACCCTGACAATGGTAAATATTATATTAGTGCTCGATTTTCATCACGACTCACATCATCACTGTACAATCGAAACTGCCTTAGAACGTAAACGGTATCGATACGAATTATCGATACAAATTATCGATCACGTCTTTGTGCTCTTCATAAAATGGGAGAAATACTGAAGAAGTATTCGAATCAAATTGCACAAAGAAACATTTATCTATCTTATCAATTTTTGAGTATGAATTTAAAACGGAAAGTAACATTTGTAACTGCAACAACTGAATGTAACTACATTGGACAATAAACTATATTGTACAAATGTGAAGTAAACCTTCGCATTTCAATTGTTTTCCGAACACAATGTGTCTTGGTTTTGTAATGGTGTTTGTGTGTGAATTAATTGGTAATAATGCACTCACACAAAAGGAAATGTATAATTTACTAATATATATATATATACCTATATATAAATTGCAATTAATGTTTCTATTTACATATCGAACAGTTGCGTAATATTATTTTCATCTCATTTCTTTGGATTATCATCGCTTCGACGACGTTGGGTGAACACGGTAGGTATATTCAGCTTTCACCGACATTTTCCAAATACATACTTCACACGTAACACCTGAGTCATATGCGAGGTGTCTCACAGTCTGGGCCCAGACTCTCTCCGAATGTGACTAAAGCTTCGTAGTAATTGATTAGTTGCACGAGAACATGAGTAAAGATTTAACAGGAAATAATGTTTGCAGTTTTAGTAAAAATAATTTTAGTTTTATACTAATTAACAAATTAACCGCTATAATTATTTTGAATTGAGTATTTGATTCATATGTATATACATATATTACTTTAATGGACTAATCAAAATTACTAGATATATCTTACTGGTGGTAGGACCTCTTTTGAGTCCGCACGGGTGGCTACCACAACCCCACCTATTTCTGCCGTGAAGCAGTAATGCGTTTCGGTTTGAAGGATGGGTTAACCGTTGTAACATACTATACTGAGACCTTAGAACTCATATCTCAAAGTAGGTGGCGGTATTTACGTTGTAGATGTCCATGGGCTCCGGTAACCACTTAACACCAGGTGGGCCGTTCGTCCACCCATCTATGGATGAATAGGATAGATGAATAGGATCTTGATGATGAATGAACACTGAAACACATAATACACGCACTAGGCAATAGAAACAATTTGTTTGTTGATAAGTTCCCATAATCTGCAATAGAAATATAACGTTTACCAGAACGTGGAGCTACCGGAGTCGTTCAGTCCTAGCCTGAAGAGTCTTCTCGAAGGTCTTCTCCAAAGGGATATCAACAAACGTCTCGGCTGCAAAGGAAGAGGGTGAGATTGGATTATATTTTCAATTATACTTTAGTGAAATTCAATGTTAAGAATGCTATATTAAAAAGGATTTAAGTCTGAAAAACAGACCATAAATAAATTTAAATATGATTTACCATCTATATATATAAAAATGAATTGCTGTTCGTTAGTCTCGCTAAAACTCGAGAACGACTGGAGCGTTTTGACTAATTTTGGTCTTGAATTATTTGTGGAAGTCCAAAGAAGGTTTAAAAGGTAGATAAATATGAAAATGCTCGGAATTAAATAAAAATGACAATTTTGTTTTTCCTTTGATGTGTCCCCCGTCGGACGGATTCCTTTTGTTTGTTTTAAGTTTATTTTATACAAAAGTTTAGGTATTTTATTTATCAATTGAGGTACTACGAAGTCTGCCGGGTCAGCTAGTAAAGTATAAAAAAAAATTACGGTCATTTAACTGTCACTATTTGTCCTGTCATCTGAGAAATGCGAGCCGCACCTACCTATACCAGCTCTCAATGTACTTTCCAAGACTTAATAGCAATCACATAGCTAGGTAGGATAAACGTATTATGCGGCTTTGGAATGAACTCCCCTCTATGGTGTTTCAAACCAGGCTTGCGGAGAGTACTTAATGGTAGGCAGCGGCTTGGCTCTGCCCTTGGCATTGCTGACGTCCATGAGCGACGATAACCACTTACCATCAGGTGGGCCGTATGCTCGTCTGTCTACAAATGCAATAAAAAAAGGGTTAAGAATACCAGGTACCAATACCAATAAAATAATCTATGAAACAGGTGGGGTTTAATATCTGCATTGATTAATAATTTGATGAACTATTCAATTTTTACTGGTGGTAGGACCTCTTGTCAGTCCGCGCGGTTGGGTACCACCACCCCTGCCTATTTCCGCCGTGAAGCAGTAATGCGTTTCGGTTTGAAGGATGGGGCAGCCGTTGTAACTATACTGAGATCTTAGAACTTATATCTCAAGGGGGGTGGCGTATTTACGTTGTAGATGTCTGTGGGCTCCAGTAACCACTTAACACCAAGTGGGCTGTGAGCTCGTCCACCCATCTAAGCAATAAAAATAAAATAAAATAAATTAAGTTCTGCTAACACTCATCGATAAATTGCTTCAAACCAACAGCGCCGACGAAGTGAAGGAGCACGTTTTCTTCGCTGGCATCGATTGGCAGCAGGTTTACCACCAGAAGTACACTCCGCCGCTGATACCGCCGCGCGGGGAGGTCAACGCCGCCGATGCCTTCGACATTGGAAGCTTCGACGAAGAAGACACCAAAGGAATTAAGGTATTCATTCATTAGGACTCATTCAAATTTTATGTAATGCTACATTTAGTATAAACCGCGCCAATAAAGAAACGAATCGAAAATGGCGTCTGTGTACCTTCACTGACAGATGGTAGGGTCAACAAATAAAAAGAAAGATAGAAAGAAAAAGTTGTTTATTGTAAAAAAATATAAAGAAACAAATGAGAATGTACTTAATAACGTTATACACGATTTCGCGTGCATCACTGTAAAGGACTTTTCCTCGTTTGTGAGAGGCCATATTATTTACCACACGTAACACAAAAAAACGATAACAATAACAAATACTAATAAAAACAACAAAGTAACAACGAAATAACGAACAAATGCAACAAATAACAAGAGAATTTGAAAGAAAACGGAGCGCGTCGAAACAGTGTGAGAACTAAGTTAGAACTGATTTTTTTTTTTGCGTGCAGTACTAACTAAAGTAAAGACTAAAGACAGCAATAGCTTAGAGTGAGAGCGCATGATCGCCGCCGCCATTTTAGATTCGTTTCTTTATTGGCGCGGCTTATATGGTTCTTGATTGTCGATTGAAACTATAATTTCTACTGAGATTTTTGGTAAATATGTATAATACTTTCACATTTAAGAAGGGTTTCAGCAGATTTGGGTGGCATAATATTCATGGAGTTCTTTAATTTAATCGAAAACCTTCCTTCAAGCGTCAACGACAAGTAAAACAAAGTTTCATCTCAGTTGGTATCTATAGAATGCGGATGAACCATATAAATTAAACAATATTTACAATTTTCACTTTTCTCTGATTTGTTGTCATTATCATTACGAACATGATATTTTTCAAGTTTCTAATTAACTACGCCCGCGATTTCTCCCCGACGCGATGTATTAAAACATACATCTGGTACTGGTGGTAGGACCTCTTGTGAGTCCGCGCGGGTAGGTACCACCACCCTGCCTATTTCAGCCGTGAAGCAGTAATGCGTTTCGGTTTGAAGGGTGGGGCAGCCGTTGGAACTATACTGAGACCTTAGAACTTATCTCAAGGTGGGTGGCGCATTTACGTTGTAGATGTCTATGGGCTCCAGTAACCACTTAACACCAGCTGAGCTGTGAGCTCGTCCACACATCTAAGCAATAAAAAAAAAAGCTATAAAACGTTTCAGAAAGCTAGGTGCGTACGACCATTTTAGTTGAACATACATACACACATACATTCTCTGTTATATACACATAGATGTCGCTTAAAATTATTTAATAAGGTACTATTTTTCGTATGGTTTTTGAATGAAATGGCGCTAGTGAAACTTTATGGCAGACTCACTGGAAGCTATTGTAAAGTAATCATTCATTATGACCCAAATGTTTTTAATTATGACAATTGTAGATATTTTGATAGTATACTAAGTACTGGTAATTTAAAAATTGAATTTTAAATATTTATTGCTTTGTAATTTAAAATTGCCTTCAAAGGTATACGAACAAGCGGTTATCTTGATATGAAATATTCAGCCATACACATCGATAAAATTCGAAAAATTTCAGCCCCAATTTTTTCACTCAGTAGATTTAATCACCAGATCAGTGCTGAACACAAAAAACAACCGCTCTATCGCATCATACTAAGACGCGAACTAGGATTGTTACTCTCCTCAAGGCATGAGTTCGAAGCTTCAAGTTAAGGGTTTCAAAGATTTTAAATTGGAACGTAGGCCTGATTTGCCTCAGTTTGTTGTACCTAAATATGAGAGCTGACAATGTACTTACCGTCAATTCATAAACCTGAAATAGCTTGTATAAAGACATCTCATGCTGATTACAATGCAATAGTGTTTTAAATCACAGTAAATCATGTTTCAGTTAACAGAAACGGATCAGATGCAATACAAGGACTTCCCTTTGGTGATATCGGAACGTTGGCAGGCCGAAGTCGCTGAGACCGTATTCGATACGGTCAACCTGGAAGCCGACAAGCTCGAACAGAAGAGGAAGGCTAAACAGAAGCAGAAGTTCGACGCTGACGAGAAGGGTACATACGCATATTGTATTAATTACCATCCGTTTTGGGGAAAGCTTCCTACAGCCAGTCTGAAGACAGAAAAGAGAATTTTCAAATTAAAAATAGTATTAATATATTCCTATAATATAATATTAATATATTCCTTTTAATACTGTATAAACTATTGTATGTATGTATGTATGTATATATGATTGTGTATATATGTATGTATATACTTTTTTTGTGTGTGTATGTATTTGTAAATTAATATAAATTTCATTGCACCTACCACTATTCACTCTGCACTACCTTTGGTTGACTGGTAGAGAATGCCTTAGGCATTAAGTCCGCCAATGTTAAATTTACATGAAGTGTAATAAATAAATACGGTATTTTATCGATATTAAATATGGCCATCTTCGAATACTTTCAGAATCGGATTGTATACTCCACGGTTACATTAAGAAGTTGGGTGGCCCCTTCGCTAGTGCATGGCAAACTCGTTACGCCAAACTGTACCCGAACCGGCTCGAGCTGCACCTCGAGAACAGCGCCAAGCCCGAAATGATTCTGCTCGACACTGTCGAAGAGGTTTCCTCCGACTTCGTTTCCATCAAGGGAGAGCAGTGCATCGTACTGCGAACCCGAAACGACACCAAGGTCGTGCTCACGAATACGGTATGATATTTGTATTGTAATTTTGTCAAGAGATTTTCGTACCAAATTATATCTAACAGTTTGAGAGTATAATGCTTCACTTTTATTTCGACTATCTATTTCCAAGACGATGCTGGCACTTAAGTTGCGGAGTCTGAACAACTGTGATCACTTAATAGTAGGTGGTAGGATCTCTTGGGAGTCCGCACAGGTAGGTACTACCGCTCTGCCTGTTTCTGCCGTGAAGCAGTAATACGTTTCGGTTTGAAGGGTGGGGCAGCCGTTGTAACTATACTAAGACCTTAGAACTCATATCTCAAGGTGGGTGGCGGCATTTACGTTGTATATGTCTATGGGCTCCGGTAACAACTTAACACCAGGTGGCCTATGAGCTCGTCCACCCATCTATGCAATAAATAAAGATGATGAACTTGAGAAAGGAAGACTGTTAAAAAATGAAATGAATATCTACAATCTAATTTATGCACAGGACGAGATCGGCCTGAAGGAGTGGGCCCTGTCGCTGCGTTCGGCTCACAAATGTTCGCAAGAACTCCTTGCCTCGATGGCGAAGAAAGCCGGCAAGATCTACGGGACGGATGGCGCCAAAGAAGGAGCGCCCCCCGCGCGGCCCCCTCCCGCCGCCCCCGCCCCTCCGCGGCCCTCTAATGGCACCAACTAGCACGAGCTCCCCGCGTCCAACAAGGGCGCGAAGATGTTCCGCCGCTCCAAGAGCGCCGCGCAACTCATCAAGTGAACCGCTGCCGGTGTCTGACTGTCCCGTGATCTGCACAGTGGGCGTCCGCCACAGTGAATGTGTTATACGAATTAAAGTGATGGAAATGAAAAAAAAATAGCAAAATGTATAGATTTGTACATTGTGGTGTTCGAGACGCCTTTCGAGACTAGTGACGGTCGCGTGCCCTTTCGGATGTTGTACGTGGCTCCATAGTGAGCATTGTTATGATTCTATTACGTGAGCACAGTGAACACTCAAGCGAGTCAATGTAATAAATCGGAAAATGCTGAAACAAAACAAGGAATATAAGTAAGTATTTAACAAATCGATCATGACTAAATTAATGAATGTATTAACGATTTCGAGACGTTTCAATTCTTTATTGTACGTTTAATAATAGATGCTTCAATTTATTCGAGTTTAGAGGTTAGAGACTAGCACCTCGGTTACACTTCTGACTAATTATGCACACACGAGCAAACTTAAGTACCGCATTCCGTGTTGGCTCCGGTAGCTCTCTTAATGTAGACAATATTAATTTATAGAATTAATAATAATTATTATGTTACTGTTCCCTCATACTGTAGATATATGAACGGGACACCTTTTAATAATTTGTAAAAAGGTACTTAATAATATATTTTGTTCTCTAATGTGTTTTGTTGTGCGAACAGTCTATTCGAGTTTAGTTACTATGAAATGTTATTTATACATAGAATTCAATGTAAGTAGATATTAAAAATGTCTTTTCTTATAATATGATAAATATTTAGAGGCAGTACTTTTTTAACGATGTTTAGGTGTGGTGATCAATAAATAACATTAGTATAAATGCAATGTATGTATAGGAAATTTTAAAGCATTTTCTATAGTGTATAACAATGGATATGTGCGGGCGACTCGGCATGAGCAGGACGACATTTGTATGTTACTGTATGTTTTGTAATTGTACAGCGATGCATGTTCTGTTAATGTTCCGTGTCTGATGCAGGTTTGAGTTTCGAAGGAGCCGTTCGGTTCGTTGCCATATTTGTCGCGTGAACAGTACATTCTCTCACTAGTAGTATATCCTAGTAAGTTTATTAATTTATTAATTTTAGTGAATACACAATAAGTGTAAAGGATAAGCAATACTTGTGGGTGACAGGGTGAGGCGAGTTTTCGACTCAGCACTTTCCGCATTCACGTGAACTCCGTTAAGATCTATTTTATTCACGTGTACTCAATATTACTAAAAATTATTCAAAAATCAACACGATCGGATCGTTTTTTTTCATTTCATCGATAAAACCTATCGATTAGACAAAATCGATAATGATATGATAATGTCCTATCCACTATCCATGAATTCTATACATAGTTTCAAATAGGATTTAGACTAATATGTAGGAATGATTTAATGTAATCAAATATCGCGTAATCTATAGGATCGAGTAGTTGCAGTTTTATTTCTAACAAAAAAAGTAATATTAATGTACAATTTGATTAGAAATCAATTTAATAGGATATTTAATGTAAAAATTCACTCATAAGTATGCCTAAGTTACGGTAAATCCTATCACAACTAGGCTGACGTATGGCGTAGCGTATGCAAGTAGCGATATCGCTATATTTTGCCAAATAATGAGTGTTTGTTCTAACGTCAAAATCGGGCCGTCTCGTACATGAACTGTCCTATCAAAAGGGGCTCTGTAAATCCGAAGTGTGTCTTAACTCATATTTGTTACGAACACACTAAAAACTAAATGATGAAGTTCATATAACCGGAAAGAAATCTAAACTTTCTTGGATCCCCCAACAAAGTTATTAGGAATGTGAAATGCAATAATAATTATAAATAATAAAATAGTAATTATCTTTCCATACCAATAAAATTAAAACAAATATTAATTGTAATTAAAAGAAATCTTCATACCAACGTACCAGTACCACCACTGTATTGTGTCTGTAGGATAGGACAGCTAATATAAACAAATAGGTATATTACACATCACAATATGTATTTGGAAAAATAAGGCATAGTACACACATTAATACTGCAATAATAAATGAAAAGTAGATTTTTTTGTTGGTAGAACAAGAGTGCTACCGTACTGTGAATTATTTTTTAGACTAACACACTAAATACTCATCTGTGAACAGGCTATATTGTAAAGTATATATTCTATTAAACTATGGTAAATGATTAGGAACTAGTCAAAACAATTAATAAATTGACAATTTTTTTAAATTAAAATTAAGTAATTTAAATAATGTACAATATTAACTATTCGAACAGTATTATAGGTTACTTTTGTTTCGTACTTGTTCACTTCAATCTATTGTGATATGTTTTCTTAGTATAGTAATTTCTGAAGAAAATACTTAATCTTTAAATTAACATATAATCTTGTACTTAGCTCCTATGTTAATAATATATTTTGTTAAATAGTATCGTACATATTATAATCATATAGGATATGTGTATTGTGACAGAAAATGTAGACGCCACAAGTATACCTAGCTATACTATACCTAGCTATTTGCACATTAGTAAAATAGCTGCATTTGTAAATCTGATTGTAATGGCCAAATTAGTCGATGACAACACATTCCGGTTTGCCAAATTAGGTAATACTTTTAACATAATGCATTTAACAATATTTATATCATCACACAAAGTATTAAGAGTAATATTTAAATAATAATAAAAACTCATTTAAAATATAAGCTTGTAAAAATAGTCGTAGCGTCGCCACGTTTCTTGATCTGCATCAGACATTTTGTTACATACCTCTGTTAGATAATACTTTTATTGTAAACCTACATTATGTGTAGTAAAATGTTTATTTAATCAACAAGTTGTTTTATTCCGTATTGATACGTACACTTTTATCCATTTTTAGTTTCTTCTTTTTCAACCCGTGTCTATCCAATGGTGAGTGTAGGTGATATGCACTCAATTCTTTTCGGTCTTTTGCCTTTCGCATCCAGTCCTTACCGGCTATTTTGACCTGATCTTCGATCCGCCTCATTGGTTGTCTCCCTACGTTACGACGTCCAGTACGAGGTATCCACTTCAGTACTTTTGTGACCCACAAATAGTCAGTGCGATTTTTAGTTTATGTCCATTAATTACTTCACAGGTTCCAGTTATCCAAGGGAAAAAACCAATTTTTTTTATTGCTTGGATGGGTGAATGAGATCACAGCCCACTTGGTGTTAAGTGGTTACTGGAGCCCATAGACATCTACAACGTAAATGCGCCACCTACCTTGAGATATAAGTTCTCAGTATACTTACGGTTGTCCCACCCTTCAAACCGAAACGCATTATTGCTTCACAACAGAAATAGGCGGGGTGGTGGTACCTTTCCGTGCGGACTCATAGGAGGTCCTACCACCAGTACCTAGAGACTACACCTTTTTTTCGGGAATGGATAGATATTTTAAGTTGAAATTACTAGCATATACTAACTTGTATAGAGAGAGGAAGTAATAAAAATCATTCGCGAAAAATGTATACATATAAAGTTATAAAATAAGGGTAGAGTGAAAATAGATTACTTGTATTTGACACTCATAAAAGATTTTTGTCATTTGCAAGTAAGTTTGCATTAATCGTTACGTTAAAAATGTATGGGAGGTTATTTTTTCGACCGCAAAATAAAGCTTGTGTTTCAAACACGTAAAAAGAGAAAGAATAAGCCTGGACTAACTCCTGCTTTTTAAATTTGAAAATGCTATGTAAGGGTCAATTCCCACTGAAAGAGCAGCGGCCGGCAGCGTCTTTTTGAGGGAAAATATTACAAACTATTTTGAATCTTATCTACGTGATTAAAAAGTTTATAGTCATTTGAAGGCAAAGGAGGGGTAGCGTGGCGTCGCGAGGCTGCACGAGCCTTCTACCGACTAGTCAAAAGAGGCGCCGCGCGGCTGATCGCGGCGCAGCTAGCTGACGTGCGGCCGACCGCGGTGCAGCTGACAGACTCGCGGCTGCGCGCGAGCGACCATTTCATACCCGCCCGCCCTGCCGCTTGCGCATTTCGCGTCATCTTATTAGAGGGTATCTTGTTCTTCTTCTACAGCCAGTGCTATGATACATAAATCCAAATCCACCATATTTATTGCCACACAACTTTCCTTGAGTGAAGTAGATCGCACACTAGTTTTCAAAGCTACCACGCGGAGGCTCATTGCGGCGCCTCGGGATGCCGCGCTGCCTCTCGCGGCGCCGCGCTCAGTCACTTGCTCTTACAGCCGCTGCGCGCCGCTGTTCTTTCAGTGGGAATTGACCCTTATTGGGACTTTTCTGTACTTTAAAAAGGACAAGCTCACAGTAAACCGCGAATAATTGATTACCAGAGCCCGTGGACATCACACAGTGAATACAGCAGCCACCTTAATACAAGACAAAGTAGAAGTTTAATATTGTTGCATTGCTACACTTCAGACCGAAACACAGGTATTATGGCTATTCATGTCGACGTGACTGCCATCATTAAAATTAGGAGGAAAGATAGAACTGGTGACAGGAAATTTTTGAAAAAGGGAATCCGATCGAAGCATGGAAAACATATTATTATGAGCAAATGTAGTAAAAACGCCTAGAAGTGTTCTAAGTTTTTATAATTAGTTTAACAAATAGAGATTTCACGTATTTCGGTATTTTCACATCGACACTTGGGTGTCGATAGGGTCTGATTACAAGAACGTTTAGGTATTCTACTGAAATATTAGTTACCGTAATTTTATTAACTACTCTTCGCCATCTGACATATAAAACAAAAGCTAACTCATTGGAAAATTACCAAAGAGAATAGAAATACCTAGTTCTCAATATTTTTTGATCGTTTTAAAAAAAACATGCTTGTCATAATCGATTTCAGTCAACGATTTTAGATAAATTTACGAAAACAAAACATTTATATTGAAATTATAATGTGGTATGATATAGTGTATTACTCATCACTTCTCGTTTGCATATCGCTTGGGAGAAATTACAGAAAAATTTCAGATATCGAAATGAAGAGGAATTATGGGGCGGGCTTGGGATTTTTGGTTTGTTGCTTGCTGTGTGGACGATACCTATATCACGCTATTATCATGGTATGGGGGAATATTGTGATTATAAAATGCTGTGAGAGAAGGTGAGAATATCATAAAGTTAGTCTAAATAAGCAAGAAATTAAATGAAACTTTCAAGAGAGGCTTCAGTTTTAGCATATCGGTTAAGGCGCGGCGAGTTTCGTTTATCCATTGTAGAATGAGAGAGAGAGAGACAGTACAGTTTATTGTACACTAAAAAGTAAATAACTTTAAATATAAATCATCATGCGTTTTTATCGCTAAAAACGTTATACCCTAGACAACTGATGATGAATCTAGGGAAATTCTAATGAAAACCGTTATCTAAGTGCTAAGGCACCAGATGGACTCGTATCGTATGATGCGGTTAAATCCGGGTTAAATTTACCATCAGTAACCAGTTAAAACCAGTTTACACGGGAGGTAGTTCAGCCGTCTAAACCAAAAAGGTTCATTTTAAATGTCTACATTTGCCTCGAATGCTAAAATTTGTTGTATAGCTTAATTATAAGTTAATATATTTTTTTTTTCCCTAGATACGTTCATCAAATGAGTCTGGGCTTCACTTGGCTGGATCTTCTATACATACATTGTAACGTAGATGATGCTGTCTATGCTATATGGGTACATCAAACTATAGCTTTGCGCTTAGTCGGCCTAGCTTTCGAACTGAACTCCGCCGACATGACGAAATTAGAGCAAAAACCTGGGCCGTCTTCAGTCAAAATAAACATCGCAGACGTTGATAGCATTCATGTGGAACCGTATGCTGTTGATATTATAGCGTATGCCTTCTTCTTCGTTGGCCTCCATAAAGGTGACTCAAAATTTAAGTGGAGTAATGTCTAAATTTTGTTTACCTATATAGGCAGCAAGCGTTCGACCTACTCTGTGTAAAATAGTCACAAAAGCCTATAGTCACAAAAGTCACAATAGTCACAAAAGCCTATAAATAAAGTAGGGCCTTCTATCTTAATATAGGAAGTGGAAATCCCACTTACTCTGATGTAGCCGCTGAAATTTTTGACATGAAAGTGAAACCAATCAATGCGAGTTTCCTCACTGTAACACTGTTAAAAACGCGCAAGTGCGTGTCTGTATGCAACATTAGCTTCACGCTGTGCCGTTTATGATCTTCGGGCGCTTAATAGGTTAAGGGTCAGGGGAAATTGATGAAAAAAATCTGTGTTTGCAAAATAGATTGCTGGTTGATCGTATTGTGAGCATAGCTAGGCGTACTACTATATATTATACTACTAGGACAACCTTGCCTATTTCTGCCAGGAAACAGTGATGCACTCCTGTTTGAAGGATTGGAAAGCCGTTAAACTATGCGATTGAGATTTACACCTCGGCTTAGAATAAATCAATAATGTGTAATTTAATTTTGGAAATCTATACTATATCTATACTATAATATATACTATATTTTGAAGTCGTCGTGGCCTAAGGGATAAGACGTCCGGTGCATTCGTGTTGAGCGATGCACCAGTGTTCGAATCCTAGACGGGTACCAATTTTTCTAATGAAATACGTACTCAAAAAATGTTCACGATTGACTTCCACAGTGAAGCAATAACATCGTGTAATAAAAATGAAACCCGCAAAATTATAATTTGCGTAATTACTGGTGGTAGCACCTCTTGTGAGTCCGCGCGGGTAGGTATCACCGCCTGACCTACTTCTGCCGTGAAGCAGTAATGCGTTTTGGTCTGAAGGGTAGGGCAGCCGTTGTAACTATACTTGAGATCTTAGAACTTATATCTCAAGGTGGGTGGCGCATTTACGTCGTAGATGTCTATGGGCTCCAGTAACCACTTAACACCAGATGGGCTTTGAGCTTGTCATCAATCTAGAAATAAAAAAAATCTATACAAACACTTAGGGTGATTATAAATCAATTCGTTTTTATTCCGTAGATAGTTATTATCGTTGGGCGGTATTCAATGATCATTTTAGGAACTCGCTCAGTTCTATCGGTGACTGCAGGACCCTAACCGAACAAAAGCTGAAGAAGGCATTTTTGAGTTGCATTGCCTATTTTTTGCTGCGAATGAAATATTCTCCTACGGTTTGTATATTTTACATTAAAACGAGATGTAAATCAAATTATGATTCAAATCTTGGCCACGGGGTCACAAATGATGTTAGTCAACGGATGTGATCCCGATATCTGGGAGCCGAGTATACGATACACGTATTGGTATCAGCGTCTTGACAATATTTGTAATGAATCAGTCTTACAATGCGGTCTGAGCTGCATAGCCGATGTAGCAATGGAACTAAGATTAGTTAGTTTCAAGGTGAGCAAGGTGTTAAAGACAAATTATAATATTTTTGTCGGTCATTAACCTTATGCTTCTCTCCAAAAAATGTAGGTACGATGCGGTTGTACCGAAATCTCTGAGTAACTCTAAGTACTTGCTATAATATATGTGAGACCAGAGTTTAAAAAAGTTCATCGCAAATCCTAATACAAATGTAACTTGATACTGGTGGTATAGTAACCGGCAAACTTCGTGAGCAAATGACCTTGACTGCGCAGAACCGAATTTTAGATCACTTTGGTGGTGAGGGTGAGGCGCGACGGCAGGGGAAATCGTATCGAGCGCGTTATTGGTAGATCAGTTGAACCTTGCGTCCCGCACCGCGCCCTCGTTCCGCTTGCTCCCAAAAGTACGCTTGCGTACAGTGAAAAGTCTATCGTTATTAATCGTTAAGTTATTTGTTATAATTGCTTGTTGACTTTGTTGCCATTGCTATATGTTGAGTGTTTGTTGATTTTTTATAAAAAATACACTATGCCGCGACAAACTGGTGTAGTATTCAAAAGAAAGGGTAGAAAAATTGTGTACGACGTATATTGCTTCATTATAAAACAGGGGAAGAATTATATGGAAAAACTAAAACAGACTTCGGAAGCAAGAAAAACATCAGTGAGTACTGTTAGGTGCATTATTAACGAAGCTAAAGGCTCTGGCTTGCTCGCCGTGTTTCGAACTCCGGGTAAGAAAAGATCAGGGAAGAAGAAAGTTACCGGAATGGATAGTTTCGTTCAATCTGTAATAAAAAGATGTAATCATAATAACTACATAACAAGCAGCGAAACTCCGTACCGTAGAAAGGCTTCGAAAAATTTAAAGAAGATATAAATTTTAATGGCTCGGAATGAAGCTTACGACGAATTATGAAAGAGCTAGGCTTCAGATGGAAAAAAAGAACAGAAAATAATCGGAAGCTGGTAAATGAAAAAAGTAACATTCGATTACTACGAATCGAATATCTTCAAAAAATAATTAATTATAGACAAAAAAGAAGACCGAACCGACCGAGTTGTAAACTACACCGATGAGCCCTATGTCGACTTATCACGATGATAGCGACTCGGGTGATGAAAACAGTGATGATGATGATGGTCAAGATTATGATAACGAAAAAAAAAATTACAAATATCAGCTTTGCTTCAACTGAACGAAGACCTGGCAACAGCTCTAGTTTTGACTTAATAGAAGGAATATCTATTTTACCCCAAGATTAAATTATTACACTTATTAATCTATATTTTTTGTTGATGTTCTAATAAATATATAAATAAATACATAATATGTTGATTTTAATAATTTAATAGCATTATGACGCAGAGTAAATAATGTTTTTGCACGTGAGTGTACCATGCGCAAACTTACCCCCACTACGTCGACAAATGCTCAAGAAGTTTGCCGGCTATTATAGGACCTCTTGGGAGTCCGCACGGGTAGGTACCACCATCCCGCCTATTTCCGCCGTGAAGCAGTAATGCGTTTCGGTTCGAAGGGTGGGGTAGCCGTTGTAACTATACTGAGACCTTAGAACGTATATCTCTAGGTAGGTGGCGCATTTACGTTGTAGATGTCTATGGGCTCCAGTAACCACTAAACACCAGGTGGGCTGTGAACAAAAAAAAAACTTGTGTGTTGAATACGAGACATAATGTTAATTTTAGAGTGATGTTAACTTTAAAATGAATTATTTATAGGTTTATAACAATGAAAAGTTTTACGAAGACTACGCTGTTGACATCCGTTACTTGTACAATATACCGCAGCTGTTGATGTACTATTTACAATGTCAGATAATCAACTTGCTTTGCACGAGCGTAGCCGTAGAGTCGGGCTTCGGTTTATATCCGGCTAAATGTCAACCGATACCAGGATACGGACCTTCTACAAATTTGAATTTGATGAAGTCGGCATACGGGAACGAAGTTTTGTAAAAGCTGTTTACTATTTTCCTTTTAGTATTTCTTTTGATTTTCGCGAGTCGCGTAGACGTAACTAAAATTATATTAACGGTTTAATCTTTAACTTTTTTTTATTGTCACTGTATTATTTATGATGTTTCGAATACTGTAACATAAGGGACGATTAAGGGGACATTAAGGTAGTTTTCCAATACAGCACAAGAGCGCATTATGCGGCATAATGCTTAACGTTGAATGTTCCAACTACAGCAACGCTTCGCACAATCGAGCACTCAAAAGTAATGCTCTCGCGTGATACTCGCAATCGATACCGACTCAGTGACAGAAAATTGACAAGTGTTTTTTCTTTAAGTTGGCATTGATCGAAATTTTGTTTATATTATCGTTAGTAATATTATTTAATGTTGAATAAAATTGTAAGGCTTTCGTTTCGTAGTAGTTTCTTAGAAATAATCAATGTTAATTAAAACTGTGCTAACTTAGCGCACTCTGCTGATGCATTTGAAAACTAATTCACGTTCCAATTAAGCTTCAGCATAATTCGGCATTGTGCGTCACTGAGTCGCATTATGCTCTGTAATTGGAAAACTACCTAAGAAGCTATCAACATTAGAACATTTTGCTAACTACCCTTTATTTCATATCAAAATATGCAAGAAGAGATTACCTAATCTGCTCAGATACAAGATGATATGAAGAAGAGAATATGACACTGCGACGTTGGTCTAGCTAGAGCTACTAAAAATACTCTTCTCCGCATTTGTAGTGGTTTTTTTTTTGTTATAAGGAATATAAATTGAACCGTTACGATATGTACAATTAATATACAGCCGTTATAATTAATACTTGTCTCAATTGAACTCGTGTCTCAAGATGGGTGGCAGCATTCACTTTTTGGTGTCTATAGGCTTTGGTAACCACTAACTAGAGGTTTGCCGTGAGCTCGTATATTATTTAGAAATTAGACAATAATAAAAGGAGAAAATGTCTACTCATGGGCCTTGGTATTGACCATGTCTATAAAAAACGAGAACGAATCGCAATTCCTCAAATTTAGTTGAAGGAAGCAAATATGCAGTTCAATGTATTGTTTTTTAAATAGGCACATTTCGAATTTTAAATGTTCTTATTACCACTTTTTAATACGACTGGATTCGCATATCAAACACGACAATTTCACGGTACATTAACAAAGTAACACCAATAATAAGCTGCTATTATCTTGCCAAGATATACTTACATTGTATATCTGATTAGCTGACCCGGCAGACTTCGTAGTGCCTCAATCAGTAAATAAAAGACCTAAACTTTTGGGGGACACATTAAGGGAAAAACGAAATTGTTTTTTTTACTTAATTCCGAGCATTTTCATATTTATCTGCCTTTTAAACCTTCTCTGGACTTCCACAAATAACTCAAGACCAAAATTAGCCAAATCGGTTCAGCCGTTCTCGAGTTTTAGTCTCGAGCGAGACTAACGAACCGCAATTCATTTTTATATATCGACGCTTGAAAGGCAAACGTGACTAAGCGACAATAATTGCTTTGTACATAAATGATAGGCAATAACCATATTCGATGCACAAAAAACATATATTTCTAGGTCTATTAAAATCATTTCAATCCTACAGCTTCTTCTTCTTCTTCTTCTTCCAGTGCCTCTTCAATCCTGAAGGTTGGCCGTTAGCTTTCTATATTCGTTTTTATCTGCAGCCAGCCGGAACAGCTGTTCGACGGAGGCAATACCGGTCCACTCCCGGATATTCCGGAGCCATGATTTCTTTCTTCGGCCAGCACGTCTCTTTCCGTCCACTTTGCCCATAATTATCAGCTGGAGCAGCATGTATCGATCGTTCCTGAGCACGTGGCCGAGATACTCTATCTTGCGCTTTTTGATAGCAGGCAGCATTTTCCGGGACATATGAACGCGCTGAAGCACGGTTTCGTTCCTGACCCTCTGCGTCCAACCAATGCGTAACATGCGACGGTAGCACCACATCTCGAATGCCTGTAGGCGTCTTGTAGTGTCCTCTNCCTGTAGGCGCATAAACTTGGACAATGTTGATGTTAAATGGTTTGGCTTCTAATTTAATCAACATGGCCCGGTTTGAGAGGGGAACAAAATTTATGACTGATTTGGAAATTTCCTTTGTGAGAAGAATTCCCACACCATATCTTTCCAATCGTTGGTCTCCTCCTGAATAATACAGGACGTAATCATCCGATATAAAATTTGTGCCTTGGTCTGGCCATTTGGTATCACTTATGCCAAGAATGTCGACATGCAACCGTTTAATTTCTTTTATAACATTGGGGAGCTTTCCATCTTGTTTTAAACTTCTCACGTTCCAAGTTCCTATTCTAAGAGTTTTCCACCCGGAGATTCTTAGCACCCCTGTCCCATTTAAGGAACGCCGGGTACTCGGGGCCGTGGCTATATTTGACTTTTCCATGAAGCTAACTACTAGGGAATTTAGGAATCCTACAGCTACTAGCTAGATTCTACTACAGCTAGATTCGTTAAAATAATTTTTTTTTCCAGGTATTTCAACTTTAAATTAGTCTACTGTAAAGTTCACGCATTGTCGCTTAGTCACGTTTGCCTTTCAAGCGTCGATATATAGATAGATATATATAGTGTTCGACATATGATCCACTTCCCTAAGGTCACTGAGTTTTGTTTGTGAATCGTCTAGTAATTAACAGGAGTTTAGAGATTCCTTTCAATAATCTTGGTTCTATGCAAATGTTTCAGCTCTGATTCGCCGGACGCTTTAATCCACTACGAGTTTAGTTTTGGAATGTTAAAATGTTACGATAACGAGAAGTTGATATTTGGACCGAAAATGAAAAATACAATTAGTAGTTGGGACATGCCAACACGCTATTGGTTTTTCACGAATATTTACAAAAGATTCAGTAAATCTAATACTGAAGTCAGGCAAGTGCTTTATAGCAAATAAAAAAAAAAACTTTAATAGCACTTAAAGGATGTAAGAGACATATTTCCTTAGCCAAAATGGTAAATTACGAGATTTATTAATTTGAAAGGGAAATAAAATCAATTTGCCAAATAAAATTTATATATACAGTGGTAAAATATTATAAACATTATAAATTTACTGGTAGGACATCTTGTGAATCCTCACGGGTAGGTACCACCGTCCTGTCTATTTCTTCCTTGAAGCAGTAATGCGTTTCGGTTTGAAGGGTGGGGTAGCCGTTGTAACTATACTGAGACCTTATATCTAGAATTACCTAGAATTTATATCTAAAGGTGGGTAGCGCATTTACGTTGTAGATGTCTATGGGCTCCAGTAACACCAGGAGGGCTGTGAGTTTGTCCACCTGTCAAAGCAAAAAAAAAAAAATTATAGTGTATCCCATAGAAACGCGAATCGACCTATATAGTGAAATTTACAAAATAATCTTGCTATATACCTACCTACAAGTTCCGAACATCAACATTCGGATCGCTGCCGTGCTTTTGTACACATCATTAACACCAGCTTAGCGTAAAATCTTCCTTTTGCCGTTTCTCTACAGTCAAGATTTTATGAAATGCCGATTTAAAGTAAATATAACTTGCACACCGTGTTACACTACATCATTGACGGCATTATCCTCCCGATCCACTAACGGTGCTTTTAGGTACCTCAAGCACCGGGCATCGTTCTCGTCGAACCCGTCGCTTGCGACGAAGGGCTCGACGAGTAAATTAACCCTCAGACACAGCCCACTGAGTTTCTCGTCGGATCTTCTCAGCGGGTCGCGTTTCCGATCCGGTGGTAGATTCTGCGAAGCACGGCTCTTGCTAGGGTTCGTGTTAGCAACGTCATCAGGTTTGAGCCCCGTGAGCTCACCTACTAGTTAAGGCGACGCTGATATAGCCTCTCAAGGCTATCAGATTAGGTAGGAAAAAAAAAGACGGCACGCTTACATTCCGTGCGTAGTGTAGAAATTACAGATGTAAAACCAAATGAAAAGAAACCATCGTGATTTATGGTATATCAGGAACCAACAGCCTGCAATTAGGGGAACGGTTCTTATACAACTTTTAAGTAAATGCAGTGAAGCATGAGTAAAATACTTTCAATTAATATATAAAACTAATATATGAGAAAAAAAAGTAGGAACATACATAGCTGTGCCGCTGGCGTTGCTCACGATCACGAGCGACGGAAGCTACTCACCATTTAGTGGACCGTATGGTCATCTGCTTACAGATGCTACTTTTTAATTTTTCTATTGGTATTGGGTACGTACATATCTAGTTGTTTGTCACAGGAAAGTCTTTACTGTTGGCAGGGCTTCTTGTAATTCTACCACACGGGTAGGTACTACCACCCTGCCAATATCTGCCGTTAAGCCGTAAAGCGTTTCAGTTTGTAAGATAGGGCAACCGTTGGAGTATACAACTGAGACTTAGAACTCATTTAAGTTGCATGACGTCTGAGCTCTGGTAACCACTTAGCACTAGGTAGTTAATGAGCTCGGATACCGATCTTAATAATTTTTTTAAATCCGTTTCAGGAGTGCTTCTTCCTTTTTGGTGTGGACGATCTGGAATGGACCTTTCCTTTCGCAAATCATAATTTCAACCACACTCTGGGTTTATATGCAGCTCGAATCAGAATACAGCGAACTTTATAATACTAGTGGCGCCGTTAGTACAGTCAACCTAGTGTATTGCGTTTATACAATTAAGATTTCACGCTAATATTACTTGAACGATTATCGGGAGTTTATTGATCGCCGTCGTTTACTCTGAGACGTAGCGTTGAAGACTCTTTAGCATCAGACGTCATTTCGGATCCTCCCGATCCACTAGCAGTGCTTTTAGATACCTCAAGCACCGGTCACTGTTCTCGTCGAGCCCGAACGAAGGGTTCGGCGAGTAAACTAACTCATAGACACAGCCCACTGAGTTTCTCAGCGGATATTCTCAGTGGGTCGCGTTTCCGTTCTGGTAGTAGATTCTGCGAAGCAGCTAGGGTTAGTGTTAGCAACGCCTCTTGGTTTGAGCCCCGAGAGCTCACCTACATGTTAGGATTACGCTGACATAACCTCTCAAGGCTATCGGCTTAGGTAGGAAAAAAAAAACAAAAAAGCATCAGCATAGTATCAGTTATCCCTTCAAACCTATATCAATATAGGTGATAGACTTATGAAGTCTCTATTAAGTAGCTCAACGCAAATGCTCATTTGTCAAATGTTCGTTTTATGACATGTTAATTTTATTATGCAGTTCATTTTATCGTGGAAGTCGGTGGAGGATATTTAAGTTGGGTATAGAATCATCTGCTTGGAAAAATGATGCTTGCCGATGAGCATTTAATAAATAGCATATTTTTTGTCGACTACGCGAAAATATAAGTTTCACCACATCATCCTCGTCACCATATTCCTTAACCTTTCCTTTAAAATCAGAAGTACGTTATGTCTTACTATTAAAATTTATTCATTTTTTGGCGTTTTCTAGGCGCCTCTTTTATGGTATGTTGAAAGTAGGCACTTATATTTTCCCTTGTTTTTGATGTTTATTTGTTTCATATTTTTATCCTACGTAATTAACTGTTTGTTTTCGTCCGGTCTCGCCAAGCTATTCTGATTATATAAATTAAGTACAGTAAATAGAATTACGATTAGTTCATTAAATAAAATAAACATTGAAACGAGATATGATAATGGTAGTGGTACTTTTCGAACATTATCTAGTTGCTGACCTTCCTTTAAAGATATTTTTTTTTTATTCACAGATGAAACTTCCCTGGGACATTGGATTTTCAATAATGCGCGTATTCTGCCTAATTTATCTTACTCCTTGCTTTATACTTAACGATTCGGCTACGTTATTAAAGTACTACGGGTCCATATTTTGGGTGTACCACGTTATTTTGGTGGTTTTGACAGTAGGTGCTGTTGTAATGCATAAAACTAGAACTAATCAAATAGTTCATACATCAACGTTATAAGAGACACACTTGTTAAATGTAATTATAAAATAATTTCTGGATGTATATTTTTTTAATTACGATATGGAGCTGAGAAGCTATCTAAAGATTTGAATCGGTCAAGGTTTCTTTATTTAATGATTATAAATTTCGTAAAAATAAAATATTGTTTACACTAGAGTTTTTAATCGCTACAAGAATCGGATACGTCATTAATACTTCGTTTCCAAATAAACCAGAGATATGTTTTAAAATCGTCGCCACTTGATAATTTATGATCTTCTATCGAGGTATCACATTAAGCGATGACCTAGAATGACCTTTGCAATACTACATCATAACGGGGCGACTGATGGTTAGCTCTCGACTATCACATAATTTAGATGGGTGGTCAGTTGTTTCGAAGTCGTCGTGGCCTAAAGGATAAGACGTCCGGTGCATTCGTATCAAGCGATGCACCGGTGTTCGAATCCCGCAGGCGGGTACCAATTTTTCTAATGAAATACATAACATTGTGTAATAAAAATCAAACCCGCAAAATTATAATTTGCGTAATTACTGGTGGTAGGGCCTCATGTGAGTCCGCACGGGTAGGTACCACTACCCCGCCTATTTCTGCTGTGATGCAGTAATGCGTTTCGGCTTGAAGGGTGGGGCAGCCGTTGTAACTATACTGAGACCTTAGAACTTATATCTCAAGGTGGATGGCGCATTTAGGTTGTAAATGTCTATGGGCTTCAGTAACCACTTAACACCAGGAGGGCTATGAGCTCGTCCACCCATCTAAGCAATAAAAAAAAACTGCCGTGAAACAGAAGGCGCCCTTTCACCACTTTCCTGTTCCTCGATTTTGAACTTATTTTGACCAAAAGTTGTCTATGGCCAACTGTCCATTTGAATACAAAGAAGGTATATTTAGATTTAAAAGCTTATGGAAAAATCTAGCGTTAAATAAAGTCACAATCACTGTTAGACAAGGAGGAAAAGTAAAACATATGAATAGTGACAAAATTAAAATAGCAAATTGTAGAAATAGTGTTAGTCCTAACTCCAAATTTTCCATGTTTATGTAAAAATCAGTGATCTTAGATCACTAACGTACTTTACTAGTGCTACAGCTACATAGTTAATGTCATTGACAATGTATGCACTAGTAAGGAACAATGAATAAAAGAGCCCCAAAATAAATGCTCAACATTTATAAGCACAATAGTACAATAAGCACTATATGTTCTACGATTTGAATATAAATCGATCGTTCATATCAATACCTCGTTTCCAATATAAAGCCGTGTCCAATACAGGAAACTATTTTATTGATTAATTTATTTTATTAAATACCTACTAATAGTTTAAAAGAAAAATTGTAATTTAATTATTACCCACAGATTTTTTTTTTGCTCTGTATTTTAACAATTAAAGAATACGTTAAAAAAATAGGTAATATTTTTCAGGAAAAAGAAAATATCTATAAATTCTATTTCCATACATAAACCATTGGTAAATAATTAATATAACTATCAAACTTATATGTAAAATAGTTTAACTAAATTAACTTCCTCATTTTCATATAAGACTGGAACTGAGGTATTGATTTGAATTATTCGTCGCTATAAAAACAACAAAATTTATAAGTCCCTCGTGAAACAGATCCGTTTAAGTGTATTAAAACAATCTTTAAAAATACAATTGCAATTAATTTACTAACAATATATTATTAAAAATTTCATAATTTGCGTTAATGTATTTCATTTTTAATTACATAACAATAAAATATAATTCTCACAATCTTTTACAAATAGAATAACAAAAAACACAGTGTAACAAATAACAAAAATAGCTATCACAGACATTGAAACATTTGTAATAAATATGGAAGACTTTCGTTTGGTCGTGTGAATCTATCTAGATTTATTATACTACATAGTATCCATGTTAAGCCAATTGTATAGAAAAAAAAACTTTCATTTAAGACAAGTTATGCATTGTACTGAAATTATACAAAAACAATATACTTTTATTGTTTCGTACAAAACTTGAATATGAAATTCGTATAAATATACGAATTTAAATTCAATTGAAAAAAAAGGAGTGACCGTTTGAATTTAATCTTATACAGAAAGCAAACTTTTGTATAATGACGTCAGTGTTCAAAAGCAAAATATAAATTTCATTCTAGCGCTCACGGCCCGGTAAAGGCAATTTTGAAAGATTAAAAGGATTCCAGCACAAAAGATGAGATTTTTTTATTATGTTCACGTGAAATTGTTTTTCGCAAGGCCTTTTAATTTTTGGAAGGACGATATGAATGAAATATCCAATTTTTTTAGTGTCCTAGTATGCAGACCTACCTGATGAGTAGTTACCGTCGCCCATGGATGTCGGTAGCACTAGGGACACAATCAAGCTGCTACCTACCGTATAATTGTTCTCAAATAAATCCTCCAAGTCAGGATGGAGTGGGAATGATTTGTGAAAGAAATTTCAATATATCCAAAACATGGTATTTCAATTCGATTTCCGCTTAAAAGCACACTTTGTTCTAGAAAAGATCCGTCCTTATTTCGATGCCGCCAATGAACAGTACTCTAACTCAAAATTTTGAAATTTTCGTTTTTCACGCAAATCGCTTCACTATTTTAAAAGTATTACAAATTCATTATTAATGGGGTTCGAGGCAAGAGTAAATCGACTAGTTACATAAGAAAAAACCATAAAATCTTTAATATTGAGATATATTTATCAACTTTTTTCGTTTAAACTCTCCTCCTGTAAACCTACGAATGGAGTTAGAGTAGTGTTCATTGGAGGCATCGATTTGAACAATGCGTTTTTTTTGTAAACGTCATTCGAGATTTGATCTAAAATATACTTAATACAAATTTTGTATTGTGTTCATTGATATCTATGATCTAACAATATACATGTTTTTTAAATTTAATCTAATTTCATTCTGGCGATTTAAAAAGAGGCAGATTTAGGCCTCTCGGTCAAAATCAATTTGATATAATATTAATAATTAAGTACTAAAGTACATAAAATTATTGTCTTTTGATAGTTGAATATTATTCTATAATGAGAAGCACATTGTACTCCTAGATAAAATCTAGTTGATTTTCACAGCCTTTAATTTAATTTTTGGATCTTCAATGACGGTTTTGTTTTGCACGAGACGGAGTTCAGTGAACCGTGGTGGTATTTTTCCGGTCAGATGAGACGCTACAAACAAAATTAAACATATACAAAGCATGAAAATTTTTATCTGTTTACACTTTTGGTGTTACTCAGTTTGAGGCACAGGTTCTAAGTCTCGCTTTTGTAGCACCTACAACGGCCGTCCCACTCTTTAAGCCGGTACGTGTTTTTTTTCCTATCTAAGCTGGGTCTAGAGCAGCGATCAAGTTGATATTAATTACCCCATGGCGAAGAACAAAAAAAAAACGAAATCGCTTCTTTTTAGTATCTTTCATATTATAGCCCCCGTTGAAAAGAAAACAATAACTAAAAATTTAACGATTCTAAAAAAGTTTCATTTTTGCCCCCCAAAATTTCATTTTACCCCATTTGGGGTAATTTATCCCGGTTCCCCGACCGCTGGTCTAGAGACCATATCAACGTAACCTTAATTAGTAGGTGAGCTCACGGGGTTCAAACCTGACGACGTTGCTAACACGAACCCTAGCAAGAGCCGTGCTTCACAGAATCTACCACCGGATCGGAAACGCGACCCACTAAGAAGATCCGGCGAGAAACTCAGTGGGCTGTGTCTGAGGGTTAATTTACTCGCCGAGCCCTTCGTCGCAAGCGACGGGTTCGACGAGAACGATGACCGGTACTTGGGGTACCTAAAAGCACCGTTAGTGGGTCGGGAGGATCCGAAATGACGTATTTTGGGCGATGTCGACTATTTACCATTTGGTCCGCAGGATCGGCTATGTGTGAAAAGTTCGCAAAGATAATTCTCCGCGTAAAACACAAAGGCTTCGTATACACTACCTCTAGCCGTTTGGTATGTATCCACCACAATACTCTGCAGAGTCGCTATCGTCTTTTCGAGGGCCAGTTTGACGTCGTTGCCAGTCAAGTGTGACCACGCGAGGAATAACGCCGCGAACAAGTCTCCGGTACCAGTGAACGTTGCCTCCACTTTGGGTATAGGGATCTTGTAACACGATCCTAAAAATAACATTGATTTATATCAATACAAAAGATGAATCGGAAAGTTTCGAAGAAATAATCCGAAATTGTTTCATTAAGACATTGTTATCGAAAATTCATGCACAGAAACAAGTATTAAATTTTAATAAGTTATTAATTTATGTGTACGTTGAGTGCAAGATATGCTATTCAAGTCAAACGGAATAAATTGCTATACGAACCCAAAATATATTATGTTCAAACCAAGCACGAATACGATTATAAATTATCGCTCTAGTAACTTCATGACAGCTGCATGATTTTTTAACTATTTGAGCGCGGACCGTCGATAAAACGACTCTCTATTAATGCCTTTAAAGCGCGGAGCGTCAGATTACCGACTATTTGCGCAGTTTGATTATGGGTATTAGGTATCGACCTGCACGGACGTGTATACATGCGCACATGTATAAGGTTTTTAATAAGTTAAAACATAACATTATGTAAATAATTATATAAAATTATTTTGCTGTGAATTTAGTAATGATTTTTGTATTCTTTGTTATTATATTAGTTATTCCTTGTACGGTAGTTTAAAAAAAATCCATTGCAATTTCAGCGAAATATCGTCGTTGTCAAACCAAAATCTGCTGTGTGCACTTTTTGAGATTTTTACTTTTTGACCTTTTCGTATAGTTCACAGCCCTATCTACCGTATAAAAAAACTGTTATGTGTCTATATCTTTAATATTTATCTATAACTTTCATTTGATAGAGTTCTTAAAAATTCACCTTCTTATAAAATTTTATACGATAATGTTTTTAGTCGTTAATTCAAAATAGAGTTTTTGCACATAGCAGATTTTGGTTTGACAGCGACGATATGTGAAATAAGCTCAGCACTAAAATGGATAACCAACGACAGGTTACCCATCCCTGCTCACACAAGGCACTCGATTCTTATGTCATTCTATTTCGTGTCCATGTTTAATATTTTTACAATTTAAACCATCTTCGGCTAAAAAAGTCAAAATAAATACCTCCAGTACTAGCCAGGCCGATCATATTCTCCTCGTCACCCAGATCGGTACTAGACAGCACCACCGTCTTCACTCCCATATCGTGGAGCGTTTGTATGACTCTCAGAGCACCATCGAGATCCTTCATTGGAATGCCGGTGATCAATTCTGCTTCGAACTGATTTGGGGTCAAAATGTCTGCTAGCGGTACCAGAACGTCGCGGTATACCGGCAGAATTTCTTCGGGTACGTACATTTTTCCATTATCACCCATCACCGGGTCACAGACTGGAGTAAGCACAGAATTTATTATTGCCTTATCTATACTAATATTATAAAGAGGAAAGATTTGTTTGTTTGTTTGTATTGAATAGGCTCCGAAACTACTGAACCGATTTGAAAAAATATTTCACTGTTTGGAAGCTATACACGTTTCCCGAGTGACATACATTATTCAAACGAAGCTTGTGGAGAGTATTAAGCGGTAGGCAGCGGCTTGGCTCTGCCCCTGGCATTGCTGAAGTCCATGGGCGACGGTAACCACTCACCGTGGGTGGGCCGTATGCTCGTCGGCCTACAAGGGCAATAAAAAAAAAATAGGGTGTAATCTTTTTTGAAAAAAAATTAGGGATCCTTACTAAAACTCCAATAATGTAACCGAAGGTGTAAAAAAATTACCTAAAATATTCTTTACATCGCGTGCCCTGCGAAAACTATTGATGATAGATTAAAATAATGCACTACGACTTTGTAGAACCCATTATTATTTACAAAAAGTGTCGCGACAGCATAAGTATGTTTAACTATTATAGTTATGCTGCAATAAGTGTTCAAATATCGTTGAAATTTTTGTTAAAGGCCCGAGCGGAGCCGGAGCGGGCCGCTAGTTAAATATAAATCGATCAAAATATAAATAAAGTATACTGTTATGGTAGAATATACTATAAGTTTTCAAAAACAGAAACGCATCGGTTAAAGAGACACCGTTTGCATAATAAGTATCTATGTTATTATTGATATTGTAAGTTACTCATCAATCTATGAATATAATTATTTTTATTTAAATTAATTGCCGTGTATTTGTACTTTAGGAAGATAAGATAAATCGGTTTATTTACGTTATTGAACTCCTAAAGATGTTATATAGTTTTCCTTATCTAAAATTTGTTTACACGTCTTAATCAATTTAACTATTTTAATGCTCCACATATGGGCAGAAGAGCTCAATGCTCTCATGTGGCCCTTCATAATTGTATTGTAAAAGGTTGTCTTATGCTTAAAAGCACATCGTAAAGTACTTCCCTACACAAATACGTAGGATAGTGATACCTTACAGACTCAAAATATGCCCTTCTACTAGTTAATATAGAAATTTCCGTCTTCCATTGCGGAGCCCTTCGCTAATTGTTAGGTTGACATATATTTAAAAAAAAAAAAAATATATCTGAAAAAGTACAGCGGGTGTCTTACGCGTAAGCCAGACAGTGACCTTACACGCTAGAAACAATGAAGAATCGGACAATATAATATTATTTTACCTAGTCGTTTAAACCCTTGCGCGATTCAGAATAAAATAACTTAAAAGTAAACTGTTTTTATTTATTAGGTGTTTGGAAGTAACTACAAACAGAAGATTTTCTACCAAACTGGTGTAATTGCTCCGCAGGCCGACAGTCCAAATGTTATTGTTCAGAACTTGTACATATGCAAGCTCATCTTGAAATTTCGTTAACGAGACTCAAGCATTCTGTCAAATATCTTGTGTTCTATGATAGCTACCGCCACAGGTGTGAAGAAAGATATGTGATACCCCCCCCCCCCCCTACTGGGGTTACTCTTGTGTTAGACGAAGGAGGCGCAAAACACTAACGTATATTTGTTAAGATAATCAAGTAACCTGCGTAGTTTATCCGCCTTTTGCAAGAGCAACTGAATACTGTATCCCTTCTTTATGGCTATTTGTGTGGATGTGTTCAAGAAGTTCGCTCTCCGTTTGCCCTTAGCTTAGCAATGGTACACCAGCAAGTCAGCGTAGAGCTTTTTTTTATTTTTGCGAAATGCTAAACTCGTAGAAGTAAAGCAGCAGGCACCAAAAGTCGTTGCTCTCAGAGGCACAGTGGTTAGGAACGACCAGTCTTTCATTACGTGGGTGAGCAAGGGAATGTGCGCCGCTGTCTCTATGACGCCAGTAGCGTATACCAGACAATGTGGGTTGTTAGGGAATATTCTAGAAGGGTACCCACCTCATTAAGCTAAGCGATACTTGCCCGATGAGACCGTAAGACGGCCCTTACTTCGTAAAATGACTAGCTGCAATGGAAGTTAACATAGGTTTTTCTTTTTTTATCCTACCTATGCTGATAGCCTTGAGAGGCTATTTCAGCTTCGCCCTAACATATAGGTGAGCTCACGGGGCTCAAACCGCAGTGTTGCTAACACTGGCCCTAGCAAGAGCAGTGCTTCGCAGAATCTACCACTGGTTCGGAAACGCGACCCACTGAGAAGATCCGGCGAGAAACTCAGAGGGCTAAAACATAGGACTCGTGAGACTAATCTAGTAAGTTTCAAGGATACATCCCTATGGGCGTGCAAGGGAAACGCGGCTGAGCGGCAGCCTAATAAGACTTTTAATAGTGATTTTTGTACTAATTTCCATTTGTTATTAATATTCACGTTTTCAATAATTCTTTACCTAGTATAATATTTTATAAATGACATTTCTATTGTTCTTCTGATAGTGTTGTTTGTTAATCACACTACATATCAGTACAGTACAATTACCCTTGTTATCACCACCTGAAATATCTTATCTTGTGTTGCTAACCACAGAATTAACTGTATTTATGGGATAATAATAATTTCTATTGCTGGGATATGAATAATTATTTAAGCTGATGTTGAAAATTTTCGACAGATTTTTATTTGTATTAGGTGTTTTTTTTCAAGCAAATCTTTTAAAACTATTTTATGTTGTCTTAATTATTGAACTTTTTTTTTGCTTAGACAGGTAAACAACCTATGACCCATCATGTGTTAAATGATTACCCAGGCCCATTCGACACCAACAATGTAAAGGCCTCTATCCATCTTGGGGAATAAGTTCCAATTCTCAATTCTATAAAAACAGCTTCCCCACATTATGAACAAAGAATGCATTACTGCTTCACAGCAGAAATAGGCAAGATGGAGGGATCTCTTTATTTAAATAAATAAAAGGTGGATCCCCACCTTTTATTTATTTATTTTTTATTGCCCAGATGGGTGGATGAGCTCACAGCCCACCTGATGTTAAGTGGTTACTGGAGCCCATCTACAACGTAAATGTGCCACCCACCTTGAGATATAAGTTCTAAGGTCTCAAGTATAGTTACACGGCTGCCCCACCCTTCAAACCGAAACGCATTACTGCTTCACGGCAGAAATTAGTGGGGTGGTGGTACCTGTGCGGACTCACAAGAGGTCCTACAACCGTTAAGTATCCTACGCAGTATCCTATGCGACACATTACAACAAGTTCCCTGTTCTTTTTTTTAAAAAATACTGCATTTATTTTGAGTAAATAAACCAATAAATATAGTAGGTATTTATGAATATTGTGAATGAAAAAATAAGTTTCTCATGAACAAGGATGTTTCAGAATTAGAATATTCTTTACCAAGTAAATGTGCTTGGAACCATACAAAGAAATTAAAGGTAATACACAACACTTCAAATAAAATATAATAGCAATAGTCAAGTATAATACATACCATATATTAAGTTAGGGTTTTTCTCTCTCAGTTGTTTTATTATCTTAGCTATTTCTCTGAGAGAATCTGGCGATCTGGAGTAACCGGTCAGGAAATGTGTATAATAGTCAACCTCATTCAGTACCAGGCCTTCAACTAATTCCTTCATTTGGTCATTATTCAATACATAACCCTTGATATGCTTGTATGCTGTGTGTGTTGAAAACTGTACAGTATTTATGGAATCTACTTCAAAACCTAAAACCTGAAAACAAATTGCTAGTAAAGATCTAACTGCTATTAATTGCAATAACAGTTAATAATATAATCTTTATTGTTAGAATTTTAGTCAATATTTTGGGAGTTTGAGAACCATTTCTGTAGTGAAGTTGGTTAGTAGTTCTTCTAATGATTTCCATTAAGTTAAGTTAAGCTTAAAAAAGCATAAGTTTTTTTTACATGTGTACTTGTACATATTGAAGGCAATGTTAAAATCAGAGGACACAATCTCAGAGTTGTTTCAGCTTAGATTAATTTGTAATATTTACTTTTCATATTAGTGTAGTGTAGTTCATTAAAATATGCTATGTATATATTTATTACAACATCTACAATATTTTGCTAAACAATTTTTTATATTGGCCAGTCTTCATATATTTTTTCATTATTTTGGCACATTAAGTAATTAACTAATTTGTTTCAGTATTGTTAGAAGGAATAACGAATTGAAACTTGAGATAAATAAAGGTCAATCTGCAAGGTTACTTCAATACAGTTAGTTATTCTCAACGGACTTTCAAAATTAAATTAGTTTCTTGTTAGAATAAAAAAAAATGATTTTGCAACTAACATTTACTTTCAATAGATTACTTTTGAAGATATGCAGAAAATTTATAAAAAGATACAAAGGTATTTAAAAATGAAGTTCTACAAATAAAATTATTGAAAGCCCGTTTACTATAAAATTTTGTATTTTTTTTACTTACTTGCAATGGAAAAACTGCACTTTTATTACCAACATAACCATGTACCACATGACTCTGTATGGAAAGAACTCTTGGAGTATCATCTTGAGACATTTTTACTTATAGTTCTAAAGCGAATTCTATTGATTAGTTAGATTAGTGCCTTTCTAATAGAACACTGTATTTTATTTTACCGTAATATTATTATATGGTTAAGTACTAAATAAATTTATATTACTTCTCCGATTCCTACGGGTTTAAAGGAGTAAAGTCAATTATGTTTTAAGCAGACAATGTATTGGCCGTAGGTTGATAAAGTTGATTGTTGATTTGGCAGATGACTTCTGAGTCTGACACGCCTGACATTACTAACACGTCTATGAAAATAAGTAGTAGTAGTTTTATTTTTCCAACTATAAAAGCAAAGGGTCATTCCATACAGTCTAATCATTTATATATTATGTATTTTTTTTTAATATGAATTATGATAGTATGTAGTGAAATAAAATGAAGTTGATTATATAAAACATGGCATGAAATGAAATGAAATGAGAAAAGATGATGAGATGAAATAACAAAGTAAAATTGTAGTAATAATTTACTATGACTTTATTTGTGATGGCGCAGAGGGCGGAGTAGGTAGATTGATTTAAGGTCGTTGACGTCAAACGTAAAGGATAATATGGATATGCCTCCAAAATACTTCTCAAACTTCATATTTATTGTGATATTTGTTCCGGAATTTTGAAATTAACATGAATCTGTGTTTAAAAATTCTAACCTGAACCTACGCTGTCCGTGCTAGCTAATGGTGAAATAAATCAATATTTTATTTTATACAAAAACACCTTGGAATAGTTACACCGTATTTGGTCCCTTTCTGTTGAATTAGAAATGACGCTTGTCAGTGTGAGATAAAACTTAGACAGGGCTTTTGTTACTTTATCTAATGTTCCTTTATGTTCATAACCCATCGACCGCACGCAACGACCAATCAGAAGCGAGTATCTTGTATGACTCTTTAGATGTTTATTAGAAAAAACGATGCGCGCGGGCTGTGTTCCAGGTATCTTACACGATTATCTCGGTTCGTAGCATGCGCTCCTAATTTGTGAAATTTCTGTGTTGTGTAAATAATAATCTCACCCTGGCTTGCTTACTGATTTCTGGTATCTTCTTAAAACGACGAACGACGGCTTGTATCTACGGACATCGATTTGTTTTTAAATTGGATCAAGTTAAATTGGTTTCAAGTAATTTTGGTTCATGTAAGCTTTAATAATTTTCTTATGTAAGTATGTTTTAGGTCTTTTTTTTAAAAGTATAATGTTTTTTATAGCATTTTTAAAAGAAATTGTATCCGATGAGGATTAAAAATAATTTATTTATGTTTTTGTTTAATTAAAAATAATTGTTCATTGTATTAATATTAAAGGATTTTGATGTTTTTTATTTTATTCCATAGTTCAAATCCCGGATCTTTTTCCGTTACTTCCCGTACATTATGGATAAAATGGCATGTCCATATTATAATATCTTGACGCAAGTATATAAAATCAATCTACCTGTGTAGTCCGACCTCTAGTCATGAGTGATGACGTTTATTTGCTAGATACTTTTTGGCGGGAACGCGCGCAGTGAAGTTGTGTGATTTGTTTTATTTGGTATATTTAGTGTTTCTTCAGGCTTAATGCGTCATAACGGTGGTTTATTAACTGTTTGATATCTGTGAAAGTGCACAAATATGGGAAAATAAAACAAATCCCAAAGTCGTAACTTCTCAGGATCCTTCAAAAAGTCCACTGAAAAAGTCTCAGTAAATGACCATCATTTTATTGAGATTATATTTCATCCCATATCATCTCATATCATTTCATTTCATCCCATTTCGTTTTCATTTCATTTCATTTCATGCCATGCTTCGTATTAATCAACTTCATTTCATTTCATAATATAATTTTTCGTAATATATAAAAGATTAGGCTGTATGGTATGATACCTTTCCTTTTCCAGTTGGAAAAATAAAACTACTACTACTATACTAAAAACAAATAGATTAATCGTGTGATATGTAATTGTCCTTTTTAAATTCGTTTATGTTTTATTATTAAACAGTTAAATCATAATGCTGTCTTCTCTAATCAAAGAACATCAAGCAAAACAAGCAGCTAAACGTGTTGTACAAGGTATATATAAATCTGATGAAAACATTATTTATAAGTACATTTGGATAAAAAAATACAAACTGAATTTTATGATTAATTTGACTTAACAATGTTCCTTGATCCTACAGAACAGAAACGTAAGGAGTGCATTACAGCTGCTAATGATTTAACACAAGCATTGGTAGATCATTTAAATGTCGGGTAATATTTTAATTTTCTTAAATTAACTTTGCATTCTAGTACTAATCAATAATTCTGGTCCTTATTGGCTTTGCACAACAAAATATATTTTTTTTTTACATTTCAGTGTTGCTCAAGCCTATTTAAATCAGAAAAAGTTAGATGCGGAAGCAAAACTTTTACACCAAGGTGCAATAAATTTTTCCAAACAAACACAGCAATGGTTGACTCTTGTGGAAAATTTCAGCAGTGCTCTCAAAGAAATTGGGGATGTCGAAAACTGGGCACGAAGTATAGAAAATGATATGAAAATTATTACAGACACTTTAGAAAGAGCATATGAAAAAGCACAAGAGAAACCAAGCAGTAGTCAATAAAGTAATTGTTCTGGATACATTTTTAATAAAATAATATATAACAGTAAAAGATCTAAGATTTTTTATTGACTGACAGCTATAATTGGGCCCTTAATGGGTTTATTGGAAGTACTTTCCTGGTTTGCAGATTATCAGAATTCACACAGTATTACTTTTGCAATTTTTTAAGAAGAATTTTTTTATTTTTAATTTGGTTTCTCAAGTTAGGTATCTTTAAAATTGGCAGAAATCTGAAGCTGACTTTACTTTTTATAAATGTTTGTATAAGAATTAACATTTTGTCGTGATAAGAATTTGGGAGATTTATATCAACCAGTATCAATAATAGTCCTTCTATCCTAAACAAATACTCCTGCATATATTGATTCTCTAATTGACTTGAAATCTGGTGCAATTATTGGAATTTCAGGGAACGTTTTTGTATTAATACTATCAACATCATTAGAAAAAAGATAATCTGGAAAGGCTACAATTAAGATAATCATAATTAAATATATTGAATGACATAAACAGCTCTGATTATAAACAAAAAATATATACCTCCTGCGGTCTATGGCTCATTGCTTGTGCCACTATATGTGTTTGATAGTGGAAGAGTGCTCACAGTGTCTCATGACTGACTCACATTAGTAATGTATTTTTTGCCTAGTTAATGGCATGCTTATTTAAACAAACAAAAAACACGATTTCAAACTTTTATTTACAACTTGTTTTTTCCACCATATTCTAGCCAATCAAGTTTTTAAAATAAAATAAATTATTTTGCAGTCTTAGATTCTAACCACATTTTCTTTCTGCGTAACTGACTCGCGAATATTTCTCTTTGAGTTTTTCATTGAATTCTGGATCATCCCAGCCCCATAGCTGATGTGTCCCGTCGCCAGTTCTATGTGTGCGTTGTTTTATTATATCATGAGGCACGGTTTTCAAGTCGTATGCTTGTCCGATCTGGAGTTAAGTATAAAAGTTTAGTATTGGAATTTAAGTTTGAACTAAATTTACTTTCATGGATATTTTATAATCTTGAGTAATTAGATTGAAGTCTTAATTGTATTACTGGTGGTAGGACCCCTTGTGAGTCCGGACGGGTAGGTACCACCACCCTGCCTATTTCTGCCGTGAAGCAGTAATGCGTTTCGGTTTGAAGAGTGGGGCAGCCGTTGTAACCATACTGAGACCTTAGAACTTATAACTCAAGGTGGGTGGAACATTTACGTTGTAGATGTCTATGGGCTCCAGTAACCACTTGGCACCAGCTGTGAGCTCGTCCACACAACTAAGCAATAAAAAATATATTTCAACTTTACACAATCCCATTTTCATATCGATCGAGGCGACGGGGCAACGGAAAGACGCCGACACCTGAAACATTTCTAATTCCACTCGATGCTTTTAGTCTCTTCAAGTACCGGTTGTAAATTCTGCGAAGCACTGCTCTTGCAAGGGCTAGCGCTAGAAAATTTTCTCAGGTTGAGAAATTTTCTCACACCGCTCGTCCGCGCATAGCTTGAATAGCCCCTTTGGCTACCAGCAGATGGGTAGAAAAAATAATTTACACAATTCAATGAACAGAAGAGACAATGAATGTAGTTAATGTCTTCTTCCTATTCGTACACTCTTGACAGAGTGGTCGTGGTCATGCATCAGTCTGATCCTGCGATACCGATGCTCTCGCGATGCGACGCCATGTGGTACGATGTTTCGCAGAGTCAGAGCAATCATTTATGTTAATGTATATGTACAAAATTCTGTGGTTTTTGCGAAATTGCGTTATTGAAACATTATTGAAACTCGCAATCTCACTTTACGAATACTTTACGAAGCATCATTAGAATATGTTTCTTCCTACTAATGAAGTAATTCTTTTATAAAAAAAATACCATGGCCATCGCGTCTATAAACACGATTGTAGGCGTCAACATGTTGTACAAAGGGTGTTCAGTCGCGCGGTAGTCCCACGGGAACGTGTGATGGTAGTTGTGAAAACCTTCCACGCAAATCATCCATACGCCGATATTCTCTCGTGGGTTCAACGACCTGAGAAGTGATTGCATTTTAAAACTTTTTTTATTCTTACACGACTGGCAAAAAACGGTTTGTTACTTCTAAACGTCTAAATACACTTGGATGTATGGGAGCACTTTTAGAATCCGTACATAAATCCCTTAAAATGGTCTATATTAAGCGGTAGGCAGCGGCTTGGCTCTCCCCCTGGTATTGCTGAAGTCCATGGGCGACGGTAACCACTCACCATCAGGAGGGTCGTATTCTCGTCTGCCTACAAGGACAATAAAAAAATATATTAATTTTCGACAGGTTAAACTATTTTAATTTAAAATGTATTTAAATGTAATAAATACTAAATGTATTTTTTTTAAATTGTTACTTCAAAACGCTTCGGAAAATTATCAATATATTATACAGGGACATGGGTAAGATAATCCCTTGAACCATAATTACACTTCGCAATCCTAGTGTCCATGTTTCAATCGGATTAATTACACGATAACAATGAAATCTATTAGTGATAGAAATCAATAGAGACAGGCCCGGGCGTCGTAATGACTGCTAACAGCTATTATTCAAAGTAGGTAGGTATTCTTCGAACAATGGCCACAAGTCTTTGCCCTACATACAGTAATCTGTTTTGTACGACCTGACCTGAACCTGAGAACAATAGATGATTTAAAGACATGAAATATTTACATATGTAGATAGGCATTCGAAGTGTAATTAGGGACTATGACACGCTTTGGTACTGCGAGACATTGCCTTTAAACCAACTTAGAACAAGCTATGCCAGCTTTTAGATTTCATTTGTTTTTCTTACTAAGCACTATAGAGGAAGTAATGGTTCTTTGGTTGTCTAATGAAATACTCTCAATCGTTTTTTATCAGATTTGTGTTCTCAAAAAACTTACTTGTCATAAGGCCTATAGCCGAATGTATGAGCGAAACTGTTCACGCTCCACACAACGTTAATTCCGCACGTGTATCGTAATATTGTCGGAATGAAGAATGCATTCAACCATGTCTCGTCCCAGAAGTACACAGGAATGACTGTAGGTAGCACGAAGCATAGAATCGGCATCATTTTCATATAATGCCTAGAAATCAAAATTTAATAATAAAACAGCGGATAGGGTTCGGTAATGTCGCACGATTCGTAATGAATGTTTTTTTTTCTTTACCAATGCACTTGTCCCGATTATTATATACCGACGCTTGAAAGACAAACGTGACTAAGCGACAATGTGTGAACTTTACAGTAGACTAATTTAAAGTTGAAATACCTGAAAAAATTTCTATTTTAACGAATCTAGCTGTAGGATTGAAATGATTTTAATAGACCTAGAAATATATATTTTTTGCGCATCGAATATGGTTATTGCCTATTATTTATGTACAAAGACGTTATTGTCGCTTAGTCACGTTTGCCTTTCAAGCGTCGATACCTTAAATGCCATTACATACAATCTTATTGAGACAATAATCATGAACATGTTAATGATTAATCTTTTTGATTAATGCTTAGCCAGCTGTATAAAATGTGTCCGAAAATTGGTCTGTCTTTTATTTTCAAATAAATTCATATTCTAAAGTAAAATATATCCTTTTATTAAAGAAGCACTCTTGTCATATGCTTCAAAAACAAAATTTTAATTACAATTACGAACAAAGTAAGAAGGGTGATGTTTCTTAATAAAGCATAATTTCGTACTGACTTCGCTTCGAAACAATGTTCAACTTTTTGTTTCGGTTTTTATTTCAAAAGGAATTTTTATTTAATAAATATAAAGAAAACCAGAATAAAGTTTTTAGATTGTTTTTATTATTAGTAGTAGTAGTAGTAGGTACAATTCGTATCCTACATGACGTTTAGACCATTGGTACTGAATGTAGATTTGAGATACTATGATTGTGAATGGCATTATTTGGTAAAGCGATATTCCAAATTCAAAATTTTATTAAAACAAGTTTTTAAGGAAGACAATTGCCTATTAAAATTAACTACCTACTTCTTTTGAAACATAACGACGGGATCAGCGTAAAGATCACTCAAGTCTATTCTTCGGCCACCTTCGATAACTTCAGGGCTCTTCTTGCAGCAGAGCCATCCCATATGTGAAAAGAACAGGCCTCTCTCAGCATTGTGGGGGTCAGCATCGGTGTCTGCGTATTTGTGGTGCGTCCTGTGGTCCCGAGCCCATTCGAAGATGCAGTCCTTTCAGTAGTGACAACACGTTTCAAATATTTGTCGATTCAAAAGACTTAAGTTAAATTAGTAATTAGTTAACTTAAAGTAGTATAAATTTGATGTAAACACAAGGAATATTACGTCTGTTGTTTTATTTTGGGTATTGACAGCAATGAAGACTGTGATCCTATACGAGTAACATCATCGTCGTGCCCGCTCTTACGATCAAGCAAATAAGATTCCGATTCGAACCATACCGATGGTTTTTGTTGGAATAGAGACTATCATATCTATTTCCTCTCTATCGTATGGGTGAAGGCTCTATTATGATATGCCAATATTTTAGTTTATTCTTCCGTTTTCGTGAGTTGTAGACATAATTAAAACTAATTTTGAGGTCTACTGTATAGACAGTAAATAACAAATACTTTGCTCGTATATGAGTTAACAAAAACTTTTAAGAATTTAAAAACGTTGAAATGTATCAAGTCTAAAGAATACGCGCCAGATTAAATCGTAACAGAAGCTTTAATTCGATATACTTTTTAAAAGTTTAAAAAAAATATGGTAATATATACTAGTATAATTTAGGCTTTTAAAAGTAATTCAATGTGAATTTAATTAATTATTCAAAATTTTAATTTGGTTTCTACATTTTATTTATATATCTGCTAAAAACAAGCCTAAATTATTATTATTTTTAAGTTTTTACATAAAAATATTAATAAACTACTTAAAAACGTCGTTCTTACCTGGAAGCCCATTGTTTGCCAAATCATCAAAACGATTCTCAGCGGTGTTCTAGCTTTGAAACTTCTATGTGTCCATAGCCTGTGAGATCCAGCCCCGATTCCTATCGCACACATCAAGTGCACGCCAAATGCTACAAAACAACAAACACCGACCTATTAAATAATATACATACTATGTACATTGAGTCACCGTTGATGCCCTAGATATGTCCTAACCGATCCAAACGATTCACTATTAAATACCTATAGCTCTAACACTAGGAGCAGGCTTAGGGACCCTGGGAACGATTACCATTCTCGTCGGAGAGTTTGAAGTGAAACCGCTTTTTGTTTTTTGACATTTTGCGTAGGGGCCGGACCCCACACGAGGTCATCATGCCTAGGGGACACACTGGGTATGTGGGACTGGACGGTTTGTGAATATTGGGATTAGGCCCAAGGATGCCTAGGATTTTAGGGCCCTACCTACCGCCGTCTACAGGGGCCGGGATGTATCATCCTGTACGTACTGTCTCCTCCTTTCCTCAGTTCTACGGCAACGTATCGATGCGGAGAGAGAAGAGCTCTCCTTCTATCGTTCCTTTTACTATTAGACGGACGAGTTTCAAACCGAAATACACTACTGCTTCATGGCAGAACAAGTTTCTTGTCGGATCTTCTCAGTGGGTCGCTATTCCAATTCCAGTAGGTGCATTCGCAAAGTTGCCCTTGTACTGTTAGATCTCCTTCGGAGGCATTTGGAGTGCTGTTAGCAAATTCTACTCCTTCTAGCTGAGCCTCTTCTCGCCCACTGGCCAACAAAACATCTACATGTATGATTTCAAGGTTTCAGGTTTTTTTTTACGGAAAAAAAAATACACAAAAGGGTTACGCAAATGTTTATAACAAATTGACTGTGAATATTTCATTTTAGTTCATATCTTTTTAGTTTAAAATTATTAACACAGAGTAAAATTTAATTTTTACGGGTATTGAAAATATGTTTGATATTTTAGCTTATGTTGCGGAATATCTAGTACAATTTAGTAATTGCCCCTACGGCCCAACGTCTGAACTAATTCGTGATGAGATCCCGTAATTCGATAAATATCACTATTCAAACTTGTTATTAGGTATTAGGTTATTATTAGGTATGGTATATAGATTATTAGATATTAGAATACATATTTCTGCCGAGAAGCACTAATGTGCTTCGAATAGAACTGTGGAACAGCCATTGTAATGTATCACTGAGACATCGATCTCACGTTTCAAAGCGTATAATGATATTCGTCTTGTGACGTTTATTGTCTCACGCGTGTAGTATCGCTGCCTACTGAAAAGGACTATTTCATTTAAAGAAGGACGTGTCGATGCATTCAGGATCCACCGCAGAAGGCAGAGCTCAATGGAACGCGGCAAGAATTATCTTTGGAACAATCCAGATAATAGGACTGAACTTTAATCTGATAGCGGGCGATATGATGACATAAAGGAACAGAGAATACTTCAAAATGGAAAAGCGAGCTCTTTACATAAAAAAGTTCATTCCTTTGACATAATAAAGTGCAATCAAAACCAGAGTGCTACGATTGAGATCTAAAATTTTAAAATAGGCAAAAGTGCAACAGTAAAATGGATTCTGATCAGATTAAGCAATTTATTTATTCATAGGCACTCCACATTGAAGTACTTAAGCAGGCACGTGTATCAATGATTAGGATTATGGTAATGTCATACGGTTGGGGTAGCACAGATTAAATTCATCAGACAGCCGATATGCACAAGTAAAAAGATTTGCTTCAACTTTTTGGTGGGGAACGCGAGGATCGAAGTTGTGGAAATTATTTTATTTTGTTAATTCAGTGTTTCTTCAGGTTCAAATGTGTAATAACGGTTGTGGTGGTTTACTAATTGTTTACCAGCTGAGAAAGTGCATAAATGTGGAAGACTGTAACAAAGACGCTGGATGTGGTTTCTTAGGTTTTTCCAAAAAGTCCAATGAAGCTTCACAAATAACCACCATTTTACTCAGCCTTTATTTCATCCCATCTCATCTCGTTTCACTTAATTTCATCTTTATTGGTTACAGTCTACAATAAATCAATATCATCTCATTCGCTCCAAATCTTTTTTTCAATTCAATGAATATGTGTATAATAATTGAAGATTTTTATAAACTCGACACTGGCAACAATAGAATTGCAAGAAGTTAATTAATTAAAAAAAGAAGAAGAACAGTTGCTTACATTTTATACTCTGTGGTGGAATGTTCGATTTTTATAATCAAAAATTATAGAGGAAAACTAACAAAATCTTTCTGTAAAACGCTATTGATTAAGTCCTATAATGCTGCCATGTTTGAAAAATATTCTAAGATTTCAATGTACCTATTTTTATAGAGTAAATGTGGTTTGACAAAAAGAACGTAAATTGATATAAAGTAAATAGGTGTGGGTGGTTCGCGTATTTTGTTGAATGGAGCTTCTTACCAAAAACATTAGTTTGCCATTTAGCGGACGTAAACACAAGATACAGTCCGTAAAGAGAGCTAATGTGTAAGAACAGGAACCAGATGATATTAAACCAGACTAGTTCGTGTTTCTTGGGCGTTGCTTTCTTCAGTACCGATACATCCTTGTCAAGTCCAAGATCATCTGTTTGCGTGTCCGATTCGAAAACAACTCCGCTAGGAATTGGGTCTACTTGCGGAGGCATATTCTGAAAATGATAGCCCATTATAGTCGCTTTTTTGTCAAACAAATACATGAATAAAAGAACGAATTTAATTTAGAATTTCAACATTTTTGTTTTTTTGTTCCGTAGATATTAAGATAGCACAGACAATTAAAGTAAACGAGTCCTGACAAAAACTGAAATCTGGTTTCAGAATTAATAAAACAAGTTATTTATTCCCATTCGTTTACATTTTAGACGAGCACATAGTTATTAACAACGTTCAAGAAATTATAATTACACGAAAATCAGTCATAACTTCTGTTTTTTTTTAAATATTAAATTCCAATTTCGAATTCGTTTTCAGTATACAGTATAAAATAAACAGGGAATTATTTGTATGAAGACAATACCCGAAAATTGAGTTAATTAGTTTTATAAGTTACGCTGTTCGTTCTCTAAATTATTGTTTAAACTAAATCTGCTTAAAACTAAACTAGTCTCAACCATGTTAGCCTTAATGCTATTCTGCGTTCGGTGTTCGTTGAAGAGTAGATATATGTAATGCAATTGAAACTTCGAACTCATGTCTCTAGGCGGATGGTAACATTCACACTATGACTTGGCCGCATGATAAATGTTTTTGCCATTTTACCAACGCCAATAAATAAGCAAATAATTTCAAATTAATTTTATATGTATAAGCGTGGATGTATGTTTGTTTGTGCCCTACCGCCCTGTGTCTAATTAGATTCAAAACTTTGCGCAGTTTTTATTTAGTGCACTTCAGAGGTTCCAGTTGTCCACCAATATACAATTTATATTTCATAAAGTTAAGCGCATAGTCTTGCCAAGTTTTTTGTTAAAGACGACCAAGGGATTCACCGGATAATGAGCAGCAGCGTTCTCTGATTGTTATACCAGCGCACTGCGGTGCCCAATCGGCATTTACTAGACGTAGTGCGTATTGTAATCTGGCATGTGTAGATTATACTACCTGCTCATTTATGCCTTGAAACACTCACGAATTCTGATTAGAGCTTGACACAGCTGTTATACAACAAAACTTAAATTTCAACCTCATATCTCAAGATGGCCGATGTGATGTAGACTCCGATAACCACTTACATCACGTGGGCTTAAAAAAACCGGTTGTGATTGATTAAATTATACTTTACCAACACTTTAACAATAATTTACAGTACGATTCTTTCCTACCTTTAGTAATACAGTTTCTCACTGATTTAATTCGGTGTCCATTAAAGCCAGAAATAACGAACCAACTAAATAATATATTTCATTCCTCTCCTATTTATAGAAACTGAAACAAATGGTATTTGTAATTCAAATAACTAATAACATGTTTCTGGTTTACTAGTTCAACAGTAATGAATTCATTACTGTTGAGTATTGTTGAGTGTTGTATAAGTATATGGGTAATTACCCATATACTTATCACTGCATTGTAATGCGCTTCATTCAATTCAAAATCTTTACATTGTTAGAAAGCTTATATTGTTAGGTTGTTGTTGTTAGCCTTTAGGGCATTGACACGAAATTATGCTTTTATGGTACACTTTGTTTTCAGTTGAATCAATTTGACTTTTTTTGTGTTACTTTTGGGTTGACGCTCGTGCTTCTGCGATTCTCCACGTTGTAAATTGCATGATTCGTAGAACAACCAAAGTAACTGACACAGCCTGAAGTTTAATGATTGAATTGGCAGTGGGCAGGGGACATTGCTTGTAGTACAGATGACTGGTGGAGCTGAAAAGTTCTCGAGTGACGATCGCGCACCAGAAAGCGCAGTATGGGTAGGCCTTCCATGAGGTGGATCTACGATTTGCTAAAGGTGTGGAAATTCAGGCTGAACTCGACCAGTAATTTCTATCTCATTGTTTAAGATGATCCCCTCATCTCCTATTTATCATCACACCTCCCGCCATCGGAGCAGAACTCACCCATATTATCTGGAACCGCTGCGTTCATCGACAGTGCGTTTCCAGAGGTCTTTTTTGCCACGTACCATTCGGCTATGGAATGAGCTCCCCTCCACGGTGTTTCCCGAGCGCTATGACATGTCTTTCTTTAAAAGTGTGGAGTGTATTAAGCCGTAGGCAACGCCGATGCCTACAAGTACTGCAACGAGTTGATTAACACTTAGGAAGCTAGGTGGAAAAGAAAAGAGGTAATAAACCGCACAGTACTGACACACACATTTTCTTTTTGATCGCCGTTGGATATTAAGCACCTTTTTTTTAACGCTCAGATGGGTGGACGAGCTCACAGCCCACCTGGTGTTAAGTGGTTACTGGAGCCCATAGACATCTACAACGTAAATGCGCCACCCACCTCGAGATATAAGTTGTAAGATCTCAGTATAGTTACAACGGCTACTCCACCCTTCGAACCGAAACGCATTACTGCTTCACGGCGGAAATAGGCGGGGTGGTGGTACCTACCCGTGTGGACTCCCAAGAGGTCCTACCACCAGTGATTACTATACTTACTATACTTATTACTAATTATAATTTTGCGGGTTTGATTTTTATTACACGATGTTATTCCTTCACCGTGGAAGACAATCGTGAACATTTGTTGAGTACGTATTTCATTAGAAAAATTGGTACCCGCCTGCGGGATTCGAACACCGGTGCATCGCTACATATGAATGCACCGGACGTCTTATCCTTTAGGCCACAACGACTTAATTTTTTTATTATTATTAACATATTTTAGTAGAATTAATGTAGTTTGAGAAAATCAGGGTCATAAACCCGTTACATGTCATTAGTTGTTGGAATGGTTATACATACATATAATATAAAAGTTAATTTCCTCCTAAATGTTTGCTAGATTGTTAGTTGCATTCGTTTTAAACTAGGCATTTTCGTTAATATTTTTATTTTTTTATTTTTGATGTTTTAGAATTCGTCCAATTATAAGCCGAACACTTCTTAACACCTTAATCATATTTGCAAATTTTCTCAATTAAGCTAGTATCAGTGACGGACAATATTGTATAATGTTCAGTTATAGACACCTTTTTTTTCTTTTATTGCTTAGATGGGTGGACGAGCTCACAGCCCACCTGGTGGTTACTGGAGCCCATAGACATTTACAACGCAAATGCGCCACCCACCTTGAGATATAAGTTCTAAGGTCTAAGGTCAATTTCTAAGTTCTAAGGTCAATTTAGAATTTACCAGACTTTCGAGTACAATTTAATAAACAAGTAAGCTGCTTTGAATATCCATGTGGTTTGTAGCGTGGAGCGACCGCAGATTGAGTGCGGCCGGCCCGAACGGAATCCATCTCTGCAAGCAATTTCCGCTTCGGGCACCTTTTCGAACCCCATCTCTCACCTCAGTTTAGGGGTTTATAAACGGTTAATGTGGTCGCAGCGACTATGTTATTTTTACATCGTAAAAGTTTCGCCACCTTTTTTTTTTAATTGCCTAGATGGGTGGACGTGCTCACAGCCCACCCGGTGTTAAGTCGTTATTGNTTTTTTTTTTAATTGCCTAGATGGGTGGACGTGCTCACAGCCCACCCGGTGTTAACTAGTTATTGGAGCCCATAGACATCTACGACGTAAATGCGAGATATCAGTTCTAAGGTCTCAGTATAGTTACAGCAGCTGCCCCGCCATTCAAACGAGGATCACACGAGGACCTACCACTAGTTAGTTAGTTAGTTAGTTGAAAATGTTTATTCTAAGACACTTCCGTAGGTAGTCGGTAAGTATATAACAAGTTCCGTAAAACAATCCGTATAACAAAAAAAAAAAAGCCACCATATTTATTCAGGTGTTCTTCACAAAGTGATCCTGATTGACAATCGCCTTTTCCTTATACAGTGATTGCAAAGTCAAAACAAAATATACGTGTATTTCGTAAATATCTGCGACAACAGCCGCTGGGGACTAATACTGATTTTTTTTTTCAACGCGCAATGTTTCAGAATTACAAAGTATTATTACACGTCTTTTAAGTTTAATATTTCGAGCGTAAGCATATTATGAGATGGGAATAAATCTAAAATTTTTCCGATTCGAGTACTGGAGCGTGAAACACAGATTTTTATTTTGACGATCCTCGGTTGATCACTGTGAGTTTTCCGGTTCAATGATCATTCTCTGCAGCGCTGTGGTTCCTGTCGTGTATCGCGTAAATCGTTGTAAAGAGTCTAACATTTGCAGTCTTCTTTCTGCTTTCTATCATGGTTCCGTATATAATATAGAAATGTCTAATAACGTAATCCATTCTACTGTATTAAAGTTGTTATGTCTAGGACAGTTGTTATGTCTATGTAGTTCAAAAAAAAAACGACTCCCCTCTCTCTTTCCAACATTACTTTTAAAATTATCTATACTTCTATACTCCGACGACGAGGTGCCACCATTGTGGACACGACCTGGACACGGCGGAGCATACGCTCGCTGTCTGCCCCGCTTGGGAGTTGCAGCGCCGTGTCCTGGTCGCAAAGATAGGACCGGACTTGTCGCTGCCTGGCGTCGTGGCGTCGATGCTTGGCGGTGACGAGTCCTGGAAGGCTATGCTCGACTTCTGCGAGTGCACCATCTCGCAGAAGGAGGCGGCGGGGCGAGTGAGGCAAAGCTCTCCTCACTACGCAAAAATCCGCCGCCGCCGTGCAGGGGGTCGGGACCGGGGTCTCGTCCGTAACCCGGCCCCCTAAGAGCTTCGGGCTCCACCCGTTTTGTGCGGGAAGGAGCCTAGGCATGGAGCGGCGTGGTAAGCCGCGTTCCCCCGACCGCTCCGGGGGAAGGTGTAGCGCGGCGCCATCAATGCGGGTTCTTGGTCCGTCGACCGAGGGAACCGGCGGTCGTGTCGCTGGCGGCCGCCGGTCCGGCGTCTGGGGACGGGGGGATGGATGTAATATGCTCTGCGTAAACCCTGTCCCGCCGTCTCAATAGCTCCGACTGGGTTCCCACCCGGTCCGGGGTAGGGCGCCGGCTGTGAGCGGCAGGAGTTTTTAGTGAGGTTCAACTCCCACATACGATGGGGATCCGGCGATTTTCT